CCGGCACGGGCGACCGGCGGTAGCCGCTCATGGGGCTGTCGGGCGGCGCGGCGGCGACGGGGCTGCCGCTGCCGCTGCCGCTGCCGCTCCTGGAGCCCGACGCGGGGTTCGCGGTCGAGGCGCCCGCGGCCGACCGGGGCGGCGACCTGGGCGGCGTGAGCGGCGGTGGCCTCTTGTGGCGGCTGCTGCTGGTGGTTGGAGGGGCGTCGCGGCTGTGCAGGGACTTGAGCAGGTGTGCCGGGGGCCTGTCGGCGGCGAGGCAGACGGGGACCTCGGACCTGCCGACCATGGCCAGCTCGTCGCTGGGGTCCTCCTGGAGCTGCTGGTGTTTTGCAGGGCTCCTGTGTTCAAGTGTGTTAGAATCGGCGGGGCTGCATTGTGCCGTTCTGCGAGCGGCAGGGGATCAAGGGAAAACGTACACAAGCTTCCTGAGCATGTGGAATTTGTGACTCCCCATGTTTCCAGCTAGGTATTGCAGGCAACAGATACGATATGATGTGACCCCGTTCCTGTCTTTTACGTGACTCGACTGCCGTGGCGGGGAGGTTCTATGCTCGTGGGGAGAGTAGTTACTTTCATAAGACGACTTCAAGATGTGGATATATGGTCAAAAGACCCCGAGACTTGACGGCAGACAGGCGAACTGGGGCATCTTGTACTGGGAGCGGTCAAAGGTAAGAAGACGTATGCGGCCATAATGGTCAAGTGTTATAGGGTCCTTGGACAGCTTTGTCCAAGGATTCATCGAGATCGGGGTTTCCGGGGAACGTGGGCCAAGGGTTCAAAGACATGGAGACTAGGGAAGATGCCGATTCTGTGTTGGCTGGCTCCCTGGCTGGTGGTTGGCGACATTTCAAGATTTGGGGCGCCATGACGTCAAAGGCTGCCCCGGCGAAACTTGTCACTCGGCCCAGTGTCGCTCAGGCCGGCGCCCTTGGAGCTGCGTGACCCCTCAGTTTTACTAAATTGACTTTTCTCTCTGCTTTCTTTTCCAGTCTGGCGAGCGATCGCCAAGTTGGGTTCGCTAGCAAGCACGGGGATACGCTGTTCGGGACTGAGACTACCCCTAAACATCCCAAAAAGCCCGTCACTGCAACCCGCACGAGCACTCAGACACGGGCCCCGCTTCCAGACACCCAGACACCCAGACACCCAGAGCCGATCGGCGCTGGTGTCGCAGTTTCGTTGACTGCGTGGCTGGGTTGTGGTGGGAGAAAATCCCGGACGGGTAAATGATGATTGTCCGAAACGGGCCTGCGATGCAGCGCGACATCGTCGATGCTTGGCGCGTCGGACTTGGAGCATGTGAGTTTCCCCAGGAACCCATCTTCTTGACTTTGTAATTCCGATTCTCGGGGAACGCCAACAATTCGACCAAGCGAGTCGCGTGCTCACAAGTGGCTTTTGCCGAGGCAGAGTTTGGGGGGGGGATTGAATGTACTGGCAAAGTCAATTGGTATGTGCTCGGCCGACTTGCCCCCCTTTCCGCACTAGGACATGAGCGATGGGCACAAGGTCATGACACAAATGGACGGGAACGGCAGATGGTCGAAACAATCTTCTGTCGGGAGCGGCTGAATATAAAAAAGTATGACCATCTTTGAAAGGGCACCCACGATTGATTTCAACCCGAGGTGTTCGGATGACGCATGTCGACCTGGTTTCCTGCGCAGAGCTCGACCCTCTTTGCGTTTTCGCCTGTTGCGAGCGACAAACACGTGGGCCCTGGTCTGGAGCTCTCTCGTCTGCCAGGGCTGCCGTTGCTTTGCCACCACGTGCGATCAGGAAGGTCGGGGGACTAGTCAAAAGACAAACCCCCCCCCCCCCCCAACACCAAGTTTATCCCTGGCTGACAGGCCAGGGGTCGGCTTGGCAGATTAGATATGCTGGGAGGGACCTGGCTCCGTTTGTTTCTTTTCCAACGCACCTTCCGAAAAGGAACGGCGGTTTGGATTGTCGGCAATGTGGAGGCGCACCATCCGGCCTCAGAAGACGCCCCAGAGCAGTCAGTTGAGCCATTGGCCGAGGTAAGAAGACCAGGAAGGAAGACGTCACCACGAGCTACAATTTGAGAAAACATTAATAGAACATGGGTGGATTGATACATAGCAAAACGCAGGTACGGGAGACAAGTCGACATCTGGTCGCTTGGATAATAATAAAAAAAGCCCGAGATTTGGATGGAGCTCGTAGCGCAAAGCCGGGCCATCAGAAAGCCAGCCAGCGGCTTCGGAGAGGCGCTCTCCGAACCGAGGAGCTGTCCGATTCCAGTGTGGATGGATGGGGATCCTTGCTTGCGTGCTTGGGTGCGTGCTTGGGTTAATGGTCAATGGCTGTCTGTCCGAGTCGGTTGTGCAAACACGAGCCCGAGTGCTGGACGGAAACGGGCCGTGGCTTCGGGTAGGTGCTTTCACATAATGTGATTTCTTTATCCGTTTATTCCGTGGACGAGACTGGCGATTGATTCCCTGGCTGCTGGAAGTGCATCGGGAAAAAAAAATGTGTCCATCGACGCCTTCCCGTCGCAATTCGATAGCGCCGACGTGGTGGCAGCAGGCTCGGTTGGATGCGTTGACATCAGCCCACACCTACGCCTTGCTCTTTCCGGAAGCTGCGTGAGGGGTGCGCCCGCTCGCCGACCCGGTCGGCTAAAAACATAAGTCTCGGCACCAAGATCCACGATAAGCCAGCCACTCACAGGTCACAGTTTCCCCAGACCTGTCGTGTTCTGCGTGCTTTGCCCAGGCACCACCCAGGGCAACCAAGAAAGAAGGAGCGACAGCCTGAAGTTGGCTGCGTGTGAGGAGAAGTCAGCCAACGGCTTGGGCTCTTCCTATTCCCCCACACCCTTCTTCCCCTCATGACATCCCCGCGCCATGGCAAAAAAAAAAGCCATGGCAAAAAACCTCTCCCACACTTGGAGCCGGCTGTCGCTCCCCATTCCCGAATGGATGGGATGGGGTTCCCCGTTGACGCATGGCAGGCTCCCATAGGTGGATTTCTGCTTTCCTTCCTGGTGGCCGTTTGTCGATTGCCTCAGCACGGGACGGGAACTTCAACCAAGCGAGCGAGTCTCTCCACTGGTGGCGGCCAAGGACTGGCTGGGCTGGGCTGGGCTGGCTGGCTTCCCCGCCGTGGTTGCGCAATTTGCTGGCCCCTGCTCCAATGTTCCACTTTCCGGGGCTGGGCAGGGTCAGCAGCAAACAACAAACGAGCACTGAGGGCCTCACCGAATCGAGGCGCCGAATCCGCCTGCAGCCTCTGCCCACCTCCCTCCCATCCTCATCAGCCAGCATAGCACGCACCCAGTGGCACCCCATCCCGACCCCAGCCTTTTCCACGGCCCGGATCAAAATTGGCTGTGGGGCTCCTCTCTTTGCCTTTTGCCCTTGTTGGGCAGGTCCTCAGCGCACGCCTGCAGCCAACCTTGTCCGGGCCCTAGAAGGTAGCCGACTTGCACCCGCTACCAAGACTTTCCCAAGACTCTCTGCTCCCACGCGATGCACGTCCGCCGTCCCCGGGGTTGCAACCATCCTCATCTCCCCTCGGATTGAGCGGCTGGCTAGAGGGGGGTGGTATGGGTGCCACGGGCGAGAGTCAGGTCAGGCACGCTCACACCATGACCATGTACCTACATATATCGCCAGGCACACCCTCTTCCCCGTCCCTCTCGCTCCTCTCCTTCTTCCCTCCCTCAGCCCAGCTCAGAGATCCACGGTCCGCATCTGCTAGACCCCGCTCGACAGGAATCCCAACACACCGAACACCTTTCAGTCAACCCCAAAACACTCCCTTACAATGAAGGTCGCCGCTGTCCTGTCGCTCGTGTCCCTGGCCGTTGCCAGCGTCATCGAGAAGCGCGAGTGTGCCGGCAACAACTGCAACCGTGCCATCACCGGCACCCGTGACGGCCTCCCTCCCGTCTCGCTGCGCTCCGCCGACTGCGCCAGCTTCCTGAAGACCACCGTCACTCCTGCTGCGAGGTAAGCATCTTCTTCGTCTTCCTCTCGTGACAACATTAATGCTAACTCATCCTTCCAGGACCGTCACCGTCACCGTCGAGGCTGAGCCCAGCCTTGTTGCCAAGCGCGACGCCGTCCTGGAGATCCGCCAGGCCACCGTCGTCCCCTCGGTCCTGCCCGCCTACGCCACCCAATGCTCAGGCGCTCCCGCCTACTCGTCGGCCTGCAGCTGCTTCGGCATCACCGCCACCGTCACCACCGCCCCCACCCCCACCGTCACGGTCACCAGCACCATCGACTACTGCGAGGACCTGTGAACGGTTCGTCGCTGCGTTTGGGCGGGCCATGGGCGGCGGTTGGGGACCTGGTCTTGATCATCTTCCACACCTCATGGATTATGTCTCGGGAATCGGTCTGATCCGGATCTGATCTGATCTAGAAAGTGGTTAGGGGAGAGCACCCTTTTTCCCGGAGGGGCGGGTGTCTCCCGGGGTATGGAACTGTCGCTGCTTTCATCTGTTTAAGCAGCCGGAAAGATCGGCCGTTGTGACGATCCTTCACCCATCCCAACCCATCATCTGGCGGCCTGGGTTTCTTCACCCCAGTGTTGCCGCGAGGACCAACAGGACAGAACAAGATAAACAAGAAGGGTTCCCACTTTCCGCAACTAAATTAGCCACGGAATTGGCCCTTGCTCATGAGGCGGCAACCAGTCCCGTCGACGGGTTGTGGTCAAGGGGTTGGGCTTTTGAGTGTGCTATTCTTACGATGGACGACAATTGGCATGGATCTGTGATGAGGAAAAGACAATTAAATTCGATGTAAATGGTAATGATTGATATACATTTGCACCTATTTTCCCACTTGAGGTCCATTACTGTGCTTGGTTGGCGTTGACGTGGCCGACGGCAGAAACATTTTTTCTCTTTTTCGGCTCGCGGCGTTTCCCGTTGTCAAGGTACCCCAAACTCTGATAAAGTGTGCATGGAAGAAGACAAACGACTAGAAATGTGTGCGGATCGAATTGCGGTGAGTGCTTAGCAATGTTGGACAAAAATAACCCGGCTCGGGTGGCACCTTTGTGGGTAGTATTGAACTCAATCTGGGCCGTTGTCACTCTTTGTATGCAGCCAGGATATTATCAAATCGGGTCGGCCTCCCGTGCTGGGTAAATAAGACAACGCTAGGTACAAGGCACAGATACCTGGTAACTATTAAGGAGGATGCGACCCTCTGCCCCCTTTCTCATGCAAGCCGCAGCACTACTCGAGTTTCTCCAGCGTAATGAGCAACACCCTGAGCAACACCCTTGCTGCGCCGGGGCCATATGGAACGCACAAGGTCGAGATTGGCATCGCCCGCTTGGTTGCGCCGTCTTCGGGAGAAGCCCGGCACTTGACGGAGATCGCTGGCTCGAAGGGGGGGGGCGAGGGCTCGACCGTCCGCAGCCTCGAGCCAGGTATCAGATATCAGGTATCCTGGGTCTGTATTTTGATGCATGGCGGGCGTTTTCCCATGTCCATGAGATGGGCCACCGAATCAGATCTCCATGCCGGCTTTTCAACCGACGTTGTGGATACATAACCTAAAACCAACGGCCAGCCACTCACCCTGCGCTGCGGCGAGAAGGATGAGAGGACGCGGCTCAGAAGCGCGACACTGACCGCGCGACCCCCCGCGTCCCACACCATGCGGATGCGGGAGGGGATCCATCCGCGTAACAAGATGCCGAGATGCTTGTCTTCAGGGGCGGTATGGTAACGCCGGGCGAACTTGCCGTCGGCTGTGGCTGTGGCTGTGGCTTGGAGAAACTCGGCGTCAATATTGGCTATGAGGGTCCGTCCTCCAGGCCGTCTTGAAACATCTCACCATCCATGGAGGAAAGGTGGACGCTATATCGCTCGCGCACCTCTTCAACAGCCTTGGGCTTAGATCTTGCCCGGTCGGTACGAGGAATGCCTCTCGACCTCAGCGGCCTGTCATTTTCATGATGACATTTGGTAGACAAGGCTCGGGGCATCAAGCCCATTGATCATTCACGAATACGTGAAATAGCCATCACAGGAGAAAAGTTGGGAATACAAGCCAAGTTCGTCACTGTTCCGAGTCACATTGTATCATTGAACAGTCAGTTTTTGGAAGAACATGTCCTTTTTTATAGTATGTGTGGTCTCGAGAGCCCCAAGAGCGAGGCTCACGAAAGGGCTCCCCTATGTACAGGAGAATCGTGAAAGGAAAAAAGAAGCATGCCGGAGGCCCCTCTCGTCTTCGGAAAAGATGAGTGATCATGGGGTCCTGTTCCGTGCCGTCTTAACGCCATTAAATGCAACGAGGGCCGAGATTATGCTCGCCCTCCAAAGTGCGCCTTTGGTATGTTCCGTTTACCAATACCATAAGAGACATCATGAATGAATGAGAAGAAACGGGATTCACAAAAAGGAGTGTGAAAGGAAGTGAAATATGAGGAAGGTCGAGCCTCAGGCCCATGCATCCTCAGTCCCAGTCGGCCCAAAAATGAAGGCCGCCGAGATGGTTGTTGCTACTTGTGCGTCGGCCGAGTTTATTCAGAACGCTCCCAAGCCGTGTCGGCCCGACGGGCGCCACCGCGGCGGAAGCGACGCTTGGTGATGCTCAGGGTGCTGGACTGGCCGGCGGTGCAGGTGGTGCCGGGGGCCATGGAGATGGGCACACTCCAGCTGCCCGAGGCGCAGCGCTGGAAGCTGGAGCCGCCGATGCAGTTGTAGGCGCCCTCGTCACTGCACTTGCCGCTAAGCTGGCCAGCCGAACCACCGCCAGTGCCGGTTCCGGGCGCAGGGGCGGGCGCAGGGGCGGGAGAGCCCGTAGGCGCAGCCGGCTGGGCAGGGACAGTGGGAGCAGCCGTGCCGTCGGCGACCCTGGACGTCGTGGGCGAGGGCGCGGGCGCCGCAGTCGGGGCCGCAGAGTTGCTTCCGCCGGGGGAGGCGGTGATGAAAACACCGCCAGGAACGCTGGGAGCACCATTGCCGCTGCTAGAGGTCTCCGTGTTAACAGGAATGAGCACGATAGATGTTGGGTTTGTGCCTGGCATGAAGGTGCCAGCAGACAAGGGGGAAGAAGTCACATACCCAGCAGAAGAAGTCGCCTTGGTGGGGGCAGCAGAAGTCGGAGCGGCGATGGGCTTGGTGGCAGGCGTGGTCGCCGGGGGAGCAGCAGCGGGAGACGAGGGAGCGGCCGAGGGAGCAGCACCGCCGCCGTTTCCGCCGCCGGGAGCAGCAGAGGGCTTGCCGGATCCGCCGCCGTTACCGCCGCCGTTACCACCGCCGTTACCACCGCCGCCGCCGACAGGGCCCTTGCCAGCACCACCATCGCACGAGGGAGCAGTGGCCTGTCCGTTGCGGGTGACGTCAGGGCCGGGGTTCGGGTAGTCGACGACCATGTTCTCCGTCTTGCAGCCGTTTCCGACGTTGGAGACGAACATGGCGGGGCGGGCAGAGTAGGCGACGGCGGCGCGGGGACGGGGCATGCCGCGGATCTTGTTCTTGGTGCCGCCGATGGTGACGCTAGCGCAGTTCATGTAGAACTCGGCGTTGCCGACCTTGTTGGACCAGGACCAGGCGAAGACGGCGTCACCAGCGGGGGCGTCGTCGGGGATGGTGAAGTCGAAGCTGGAGCCGCCATTGACGGGGCAGTCGCCGATGATGGACTGGATGACGGTGAAAGTCTTTCCCTTGTCGTACGAGAGCGAGGCCTGGCACGAGCCGCCGTTGTGAGCAGCGCCGCCAACGATGGTCATGTTGCTCTTCTGGCCGGGGGTGAAGGTGACGACCGACTGGCCGCCCGGGGTGCCAAGATCCGAGAGGTAGCCCTTGCACGGGTAGTTGGCGCCCGAGGGCGAGAGAGGGGCCGTCATGTCGTTGTCCTTGGTGGTGGCCAGCGAGTTGAACTTGGACCGCAGAGGCGGAGGGAACGACATCTCCATGTGACCCTGGACTACCGTCGCGGCCAGCGCGAGGAGTGTGGCTGCTTGGAAGAAGGACGGCATTGTGACGTCGTTGTGAGTGGTTATTTGAGTCTGATGTGGTTCGCGATGTGGTTCGCGATGTGGTGTGCTGAAAGTTGAGATAACGTCTGGGTCTTGGAGTCCAGGTCAAAGTGAGCGTGGAATGGAAGCAGCCGGGTGTCTCGTTTATATGCAACAGCCGCGGGCGGGTCTCGAGGAAGAAGGAAACAAGTCCAAGTCGCAGAATGGGACGTGTGACAACGAGCAAACCAGGCTCGATCTCTTTGTTCAGGGTGCAACAATAGGGCCCGCTGGACGATGAATAGAGAAGAATGGCAAAGTGAGCGTTTTCTGTGTCGTAGGACAATGGGAGCCGGCAAGAATGGAAAGGGCAGAGCCAAAGGGGAAAAATGGAAAAGAAGGCCGAGAAAAGCTGAGCACCGAAGGTAGGAACTTCTGTCCGATGTTTCCTGTGGGAGAGGCAAACAAACAGAGAGGGCAGCAGAGGGAGGAGGACCGGGCTGGTTTATACTCGCTTTGTCCGCCATCTCAACGTCTCCAACGAGTCCGCATGAGCCAACCAGATGACTCCTCCGCTGGCCGACCGGGCGCTCCATCACGCGCGGGCCAATAGCCAGCCGCAGGGCGGCACGTCGGGCTGGCGGTTGGAATGTGCCTGGGCCACAGTCGACTTGAGTCCAGACTTGAGTCCACACGCCCCGCTGAGGAATCCCAGGAGGCGGAGGCGGCCCTTGTCGCAGCGCCACTCGACGCTCCCCGGCGCGGTGTGCGGAGCGGAAATGTGGGTGGGCAGGGCAGTTTTACAGGAGGTGTGGCTGGCGGGGGAGGGGTGACGGTACGGGAATTGTGCATGACGGGCGGTGGAGATTGAGGCAAAAAGGACCAGACTGTGTGTGTTGCGGGCTACACAGTACGGAGCCCAGGGAAACAACTCGTTTCCTTCTTCTTCTTTTTTTTGTCCTGCAGCGATCGACAGGAGAGATCACCCACGGCAGAAGTAGCTAGATTAGGAAGGAGCAAACAGGAAACGTTGCCTGCCGCTCCCGCTTTGGACCCTTCGGCCACTTGTTCGTGCAAGGCGGCACGATGCACTGTTGCGCCCAGATTGAGCGCCGCCGATTCGATTGGAGCACAAGGCACTCGGCCATCACACCACAGATCAACAACAGTCATTTCCAAAAGCCTCCAGCTTCTTTTTCCTATCCCTCATCATCTCGAAACGAAACATTTGCCCGGTGACTGGAAGGGGGAGGGAGAAGGACAGCAAAGAAGGAAATCTGCACTCCCCTGCGTCCAAAAAAGCAGCAGCCACTCATGGGCTGCACCAGGGCCAGCCAGCCGGCAGTCTGAAGCGGGCGGGTGGACGAGAGGGTGGTGCTTGGCGCTTGGCCTGCTGGTGCGACAGAGCCCGACTGCTCCCAGCCAATCACTAAGCCCTCGTCCCTGGATTCTGAGAAGATGATGGGGCGTGGGGCAGTACAGAAGCTGTGGGGCCTGCCCCCACCAGATACACGAAAAGCCCACCTACCCCCTCATTCAGGAGACAATGGACGACAGCGGCTCGATTGGCTGGCTGACCTCTGGAGTCCCAACTCAAGCTGTGACAACGCAGATCGAGGAACAGACGCGCGCTGCAGCTACTGCTGCCGCCATGGCACATCCAATGCCTGGGAGCTGCGCTGGCTCTCGCGAAACTGCAAATCCCGACTTGGCCCCCGCCAGAAAGGCTCAAGGTGAAACGAACAAGCAAACCCCCCTTTGGGCTCGGTCTGCATTTTGTGCGAATGTGTGTGTTTGGCTGGTTTCCACGCCACATGATACTACGTTACCCAGCTCGAGATCTGTACATGCACGGTAGACATTGTTCGGCCATTGACAAACAGGTCCAGGCGTCGTCATGGGCCCGCAAAAGAGAGGCAGCCACGGCGGCCGCGCATTGAGAGCCTGGAGCTCGGGTAGAACAATACCAACCATGGCCAGCACACAGCCCCGATCCGCGGCCGCGACCCAGTGGACCACCAGTTCGCGTTCCGCCCTCCCGGCTTGCCGACCCTTGCCCATGCTCCATCTCAACATGCCACTGCCGCCTCCCCATACTGTGTAGCTCGACTCGCGAACCCCAAAAACCGGGGTCCCTGGAGGTAACCAGGCGGTTGACGGCATCTCCAGCCCGAGATTTTATCATCCTTCAGTGCACTCTCTTTTGTCTGTAGTCCTTTTGGCGGTGGCCATACCATGCGCCTATAAAAAGAAACGATGGAATGAAAGAAGGCATGGACAAGGCTGAAAATAACGAGATAAACAAGATGTAGCGTCAGGCGGGCGGCTGAACTCTGCCCACCATCAGCCAGCACACAACGATCTAGGGGATGTCCTTGGGGGCCAGATCTGCTTGGCCACAAGAAAAAGGGAAAGATGAGAGAAAAAAGTCCCGAATCCGACGGGCACGTGCCAGGCTCTCCCCCCTCTCGTGAACAGACAAGGCTCAAGAAATAGGAGGTGGCCACTCCGCCAGGGAAGAATGCCTCGTCCCATCTTGAGCACATCAATGCCGACCCCACCCACATTGCTTGTTTTTCCTTCCTTCTGGGAGGGCTCCATGTCGCTCCGTCCGGGCTGCCAACTCCACTCTGTGCCTTTTGTTCCGCGGCACATGGCGCCGATGCGGTGATGCGGTGATGCGGTGATGCGGTGAGGTTTGTAGTATGTAGATGCGTGCCTAGCTAGGTAGGTAGGTACCCAAGGTAGCCGCTAATGCAGAAAGAAAGGTAATTGAAGGTACAACAACCGCACGCCGCGAAAAAGCCGCATGGAAGTTTCTCCATTGTTGCACATGGTGCAAGAGCCAGCACGAGAGAATACGAGCGGCCGCCAAACGCCCCAGGGTTTGGTGTGGCGGCTCCTCCGACCTTGATGCCTGCCCGCCCGCCTCGCCGGGATCCACCCCCCCCAATATATCGGTTGATGCCCACTATAAGGACGAGGGGAGTTTTTTCTTCTCTCAAGACCGCACGCCGCAACGCGCGAGCTCCTCGCCCCCGCCGCCGAGAGCGGCGCGTCCATCTCTGTATGTTGATGTGGTAGGCAGGTATCATGGGACGATGATGCTTCTCCCCGCCCTACGACTCGTCCATACCTACCGCATTCGCCGTCTCCCTCCATCAGCCATGCCACCCGCTCATACCTACCCTGCCCATCCCATCCCATCCCATCCCATCCCATCCCGTGGCCATCGCATTGAAACCGTCATGGCCGAAAGCCAGGCAGCGAAGCCATCTCGGAAGCCGCTCATCTGCCTTTGTCTTTTTGTAGCAGTGCACCTCTCCCTTTTACACTCCCAATGATCCTCATTGTCCTTGTTCTACTAGGCCCGCAGCTGTAATGCATATCCGGGAAGTATAAAGAAGCTTAAGGCTTGTCGGTAGATGGTGACCAACAAAATACCCACCGTGGTAAAATAAAATCTTGTTTTTTTTGTGATTCCTTGTGTTTTCTAAATTTTGCCTTATCCTGCTCCCAAATACCCGCCAACTATCCTCTCCTCCCACACATCTCCAACACCACCAGCGTCTCGCAGACAGGACCAGTAGGTCTGTCAGTACCGCAGAGAGATTGACCTCCCAACCGAGATGGTGAGTAGAAGATTAGGGGGTGTTCTGCCAAGGTGTACGACGCGAGGTCCATATATACACTGCATGTCGATAATGAGTGATGGATATGTCGGCGTATAAGGCAGGCGGTAAAGATGAACAATAAAGGAGGGGTACATATATGCCTCTCGACGGCCGAAACTTGCCATATCCCTTGGATGGATAATCAAAGTCCAAGCCCACCAAAGTTAGAGCTAAGATATATCGCCGTGTCCCACCCTCCCACCCGTCGTCCTCGAGAGGCCCCCTCCTTCCCGCCTGACAGCAACCAGAAACCATCTCGCCTTCCCCTACTGCATCCTTGAAGTTGAGGGGAAGACAACCGAGAGCCACCAGCAACTTCTCTCGAGGCGGCCCTGGCTCAGGTCCCATCCCACAAGCGTTTGATAAGTCAGCCGGGCTACCAATGTTGACAGTGACCAAGAATATGTCAATATCAGATACAGAGAACACTGGTCGTGCCCTCCAGACATCCAAATGTATTCAGCGGGTGGGGCGTGGGAAGGTCTCTGCTGGGAGGCACTGCGCATGTCTGCCTGCTCAGGGAGCAGCATTTCTGTGTTAAACAAAGATATTCTCCCACGCGACGTTTAGTTGACGAGGGGGCAGCTCAGAAGGGCACATATTTGGTGGCAAGTTGATCAGTCCATCCTTTGCGCTCTTCTGTTCCTTGGATTCGCGAAGCCACTGAACGGCCCGGCGCCATGCCGGGCCGAGTTTGCCATGTGACATCCAAATCGATGCTCAACATAAATGCATGTGGATTTGGGAGGGCGCGGCGTCATCGCCATGCTCGGCCCTTCTCGGCCTGCACGACACCTTGGATAGAGGAGGCAGGGTCTTTCATTTGGCCTCCTCCGGACCGTCCGCCTGGCGGCCCTGGGGACCAGATGGGATCTGGAGGGCCTGCTGAGGCCCTTGGCCGTGGCCTTGGAAGTTCTTGTGGTTATTGCCGCCGTAGCTGTTATTGCGGTGCTGGTTCCCGTAGTTGTGCATCTGTTGGGGGCTAGTCCCAAACTGCTGTGGCCCGGCGCCGTTGTAGCCGCCTCTCGCGTTCACTATTGCCAATCGTCAGCTTGCCTGATGCACCAGAGACTCCAAAGACCATTTACTGGCGACGCTTACTGTGACCAGGGTGGCCCGATGGGAACACAGGCTGCTGGAACTGCATGTTGGGGCTGACGCCGTACATGGGCTGCCCCTGCTGGGAGCCCTGCTGTGACATCATGGGCGCAGCCGGCCTTCCAGGGCTGGGGTAGCCGCCGGTAGATCCGGGTATCGGCTGTGGCGGGGCGGCGCCGCCATGAGGGACGAACCCCTGATGTGCCCCAGCATACATTGACATCTGGGGGCCGCCGGCCACAAGCCCGTTCGGAGCCGGAAGGAACTGAGAGGGCAGAAGTGGCACCGTCATTGGGCTGTTCTGCTGTGGCATGTACTGGGGGTTGTTGGAGAATGAACGGAAATTGTTCATTTGAGGAGTGCCCGGCATGAAGGGCGGCATCACCCCCTGGTTATAGGGGAGCTGCGCCGGAGAACCCATCGTCGGAGGGGGGTATCCAATGGGAACCTGAGATATCCTGGGGGAGGCGTACGACTGTGCGGAGTTGGAGTGCATCATCCTGTTATGATCGTCGTTGGCGCCGTTGAAGGGCACATGGGGCACGTGGCCGTGCTGGCCGCCGTGCATCTGCATCGGCGGCATATGAGGTGACTGCCGAGGCGCCAGGTTATGAGCGCCGTGTTGCAGGTGGAAGGGCAACTGATGTTGATGAGCCATCTGCGGATGGGTGTGCGGGGGATTGGGGGTGGCCAGGCTGCCGCTGGAGTAGGGCAGCTTCTCGAGGTACTCAGAGTACGTCATGTGCATGGTCGAGTCGCTCTTCTCGTCGTCCTGGAGCTGGCGCCAGGTCGGGAGCGTGTCGAAGGACGGACGTAGGCCCTCGTTCTCGTCCCAGCTGCGAACCTGGGGCGGCGGCGTGAAAGTCTGGATATGTGAGAGGATGTAGCACTTCTTGGCGTCGATGGCCTTGGTCTTCCGACGGATCAGCTGACCAGGAATGGGAGGTGGTGCCTGCACTTCGGGGCGCGGGCTCGAGCCGTTGCTAGGGCCAGCCATGTTGGGGTTGAAAGTTGTGGCGAAGGGGTTTGGCCGGAATTCGTGGCTGTTGGGGTTGAGCTTGGGAGCAACAGGGCCTTGCGGCATAGCCTGCATGCGGCGGTCGTATGGCGGCGGCATCCCGTGGGCTGGGCCAGTCGGAGGCTGGCGCTGGTCGGCCGGGTGCATCACCGGGCGCGCGTGCCTCTCCTGCTCGACTCTTCGGAGACGCTCGCCAAGCGTCCCTCCAACGGCGCGGCCCTGGCCAGGGCCGTACTGGCCCGAGGATCTATCGCCGCGGAATTGACCGTTGTTGCCGTAGCCGGGCGCGAACGGCTGGCGGCCGCCTTGGTGACGTTGGTTCGGATTCGCCGGCGACGGCGCGTGCTGCGGGCCACCGGGCCTGGCTGTGGCACGATTGTCCGGGCCTGGGTGGGGAGCCGAGGTGTTTCCGACAGCGGGCTGCTCCTTGGTCGCCTTGGCCGGCTCCTTAGCCGGGGTCGCCGACTCCTCCTTCGGTGCCGTCTTGGACTTTGCGACCTCTTCCGCATTCTGCAAAGCCTTTTCCTGAATCGCCTTCTGCTTGGCCGGGTCCTTGGCAATGATGGAGATGAGGTCGCTAGGCACAGGCGTCGAGAGCTTGAAGCTATTGGCAAACTTCTTGAGCTCTTGAAGCTTGACGTGAGCATCGGCCTTGGCCTTGCTGGTGCGGACCTTCTCAGCCTGGACCCTCTGCTGAATGGCAAAGTTTTTAAACTCCTTCAAGACGTCGTGCTCGACAGTTGAAGTGGCACTCGGCGCGGCGGCACCGGGCTTGCCCTGAGGCGAGACGTTTCTGCCTGTGGCAGCAGATGGGCGCAACGAGGCTGCCGTCTTTGTATCGGTCGTCTTCTCCACAGGCTTGGTCTCGGAGGGCTTCGGCTCGACCTTGGGCTCAGTCTTTGGTTCGGCCGTCTTCGCTTCTGTGGGCTGAGCCTGAGGCGTCGAGGGCTTGGCAGCGGGCGCAGGCGCAGGCGCAGCTTTGATCTCCTCCTGCTTGTTGGCCTGTGCCTTCTTTGACTGACCGCCTTTGAGCTGTGCAGAGATGATGGCAGGGTCTACCGGAGCGCCGTACGAAGTTGCTTGTGCGGCAGGGGCACGCCTCGCGGGAGGCGTGTACTTGTTTTCCCGGTTCTGTAGAGCAGCCACGTCCTGGCGGCGAACACCACTGTATCTGGAGACGGGGTTAGCTCGCGAGCGTGCTTGGCGATAGGGGCGAGCGTGGTCGATAGCTTACTTGTCCTCCTCGTCACCCTTTTTGTCATCTCCGCCGGCGAAATCCATAACACGCTCTTCGGCAACATGTGCCGTGGCTGGCGCACTGCGCTCAATCTCCCTAGCCTTCTTGTCCGCAGCAGCTAACCTCTCCTTGTACTGCGGGTGGCTTTTATCGATGGTGGTGGTATAAATGTTCTCATGGTAGTTGGTCTTGACGTTAAACAGACGCTCGTTTGCAGCGAACTGGTCCCACGGACGGCCATCATTCGATGATGACTCGAGACTCATGTTGACATCGCTTCCGCCGTCGGGCTGCCAGGGTTGGAGCGCGCGCTCGCCGCCCTGGCGTGTGTTCGAGATGGCGCTATCGGTACGAAAGCCGGGACGGTTTCCTGCCCAAAATTGTCAGAACGAGTCTAATCCTAGTCGTCTAGGCCAGTGGCATCATACCATTTGCAGTCTTGGCGTCATTCTTGTTTGCGTTACCACCCACAGGACGGGCATCTGCCACATCCTTTCTAGAGATAGTCATATTCTGCGGCTTGTTCGCTCCGTTTGCCATGTCGCCGGCGATTCTTCGCTGCTGCACCATCCTCAGGAAAAAGGTCGAGGGGTCGGCCTGGTTGTTGGCATAGATGCCTTCGAATTCGGCGCCGGTGTTGAGGGAGATTCGTACTCGTTGCCCCTGTTTGGAGATGGATGGCTCAAGGTCAGCGCTGGTCTCCACCCGAAGCTGCGGGCATGATATTTCCAGAAACTTCAGGCGAGGAGAAGACCAGTGAAGCTGTCACAGGGGAGAAACCGGGATAGGCGAGGAGCAGGACAGAAAAAATCAAAGGTGATGCGAATCCGTGCACCCGGGGCGTCAAACCCTGTCAGAAGCGGCGAAGTGACTGGATGCTGACACGGGCCCAAGCGCATGGGAACAGTGGGGAGGGACAGACGGAAAGAAACAAGGCAGGCGAGAGAAGCTTCTTGGGGCAACGAGACGGGCTTACCTCTCGGAGCGAGTTTGTGGGCGACGGGGTTGCGGCCGAGGGCGGCTGCTGCTTGGTGTTGCTGGTAGTGTTGAAGTTGTTCTGTGGTGGAGTCTGGGACGATCTACCCGTGAGTGGGTTCTTGGCGCCAGCGGCCCAGGCCTTCTGCTGCGCGACGGGAGCTTGTCTGCAGCGGGCGCCAGAGTCAGTCCAGCGCAAAGCGAGCGAATTGATGCGACAATGGCCAGGCCAGAGTGCGTTGGATGGTGACAAGGTGCAGTAGACGGCTTTGAGGGTGGAATTTGTCACATGGGGGAACGCAGGCAGGGGAGACGCAGGTCTGGCGTGGCAGCCTTTTTTTTTCTCTTTTGGCTTTTGGTCGGTGGTCGCTGGCTCAGCAGCGTGGGCAGTCGGGTTGGCGGGCAGGAGCCGACCCAGTAAAAACTGGGGCCAGGGCACAAAAGGGTCTCGTGTCTCACCTGGTGGTCGGACTCGGGCTGTTGACGTTCTGCTGCAGAGCCCTGGCCTTGCCGTCGCCTCCAAGCTTGCTGCTATACAATGGCCGGGCCGGCTTGGGGTCGATAGGCGTCGCCGACGGTTGTTTTGCAGCCGAGGGGCGGTGATTTTCGTCCATGGGTGCGCAGTGAGGGTCAATCCGCCTGCCTGGCTGGCCCAAGCGGCGGCGGTTGGCGGGACGGGCGTTTGGCGGGTGCTCGCTGGGGGGTCTTGGGGGGTGACGCTGGAGCTGTGGTGCAGCCCGCTTCTCCCAGGCAAGGCGACCTTGAGATGTGTGGGTTGGCGTGAATGAGATTGGGGGCGGAAAGAGCGACGGGGGAGCCAAGGTGCAGTCGGCTGGCTGTGCGCAGGTGCGGTGCGGCGGCAGAAACCGAGGTGGGCGTTTGGACGGACAGAGCAGTCGTCGGATGGAGTGGAGGGCGGGAAAGGGGCAGACGCAGGCCGTTGCAGAGGCAGTCAATTCTCCCTTGCAGACAATAAACGGATAAATGATGCGGCGAGAGAGGACACGCGCAGGTTGCCAGAACCAACAGGACACCCGAGATGGAGGCTGGTGGCGGTGGGCGGCAGGCAGGAAGGAGAGAGCGGAGACAAGAGCGCTCTTCTCACGGCGAAACTCTCAACACGACAGCAAAAAGTATCCGTGCCCAGGACGATACCACAAAGCGCATTGGGCCGGCCTGGCACCCCGTCACTGGTCTCTTTTGATCACTTTTGTCGCCCCTTTTTTTTAGCCGTACTTTTCTTCGTTTCTTCTTTCTTATTATAAGGAATTTGGTTGCCTCCTCTCTTTTATTTTCCCCCTTCGTCCGGGTTCTGGCGACCGCTTTTTTGTGCTCTTGTTCAAATTATTATCTTGGTGGTTTTGTGGCGGGTTCGCTTGTCAAGCTGTCAAGCCCTGGACAAGCAGGCAGGCCACGACGGCTCGTCAGCGTCGGGGCAAGAGGACGGGCGTGGGTGGTTACACCGGGCCAGGATTAGGGGATGAGTGCCAGCACGGTTCGGGCGGCCAGCAAGACGTTGCAGGCTGTGCGACGGGCAGGAGGGGTTCGTTACTCGAGCTGGGGCGGGAGGGAAGCGGGGAGGCGCAAGAAGGCGACGGCGATGGCGAGCGAAGAGAGGAAGACGGTCGAGTTTTGGGCGCAGCTGGGCGGGCAGACACAGCACACAACCCCACAGTCAAGGAAGCAAAGCACAGCAGCGGGCGCACAAGAGGGAACCGCCCGTCGGACTACCCAAGCCAACGTGGAACACAAGGCACGGGGGCTGATTATGGACAGAAAAGGAACAGGACCAAGGAGAGACGAGGAATGTGACTGGCGATGGTTACCAAACAGAAGACACAAGGCGGCACAGAGTGACGAGCAGATCTGCTCAACCGCAAGACAGCAAGACTGCAAGCATAATGAGCAACATGCTAGCGCAGCTCTCTGGTCCATTTCGGGCAACAAAGCTCGCACGGCCTGCTCGGGCGCTGCGTGCGCCTCTTGTGTGCCTCAGGCAAAGCGCCCGCCGACCCCACATTTTGGCCGCAGAAGCTGCGGGTCGAGCGGCCTATCAGCTAGGACAAATCGGGTGAGGGCTGCGCCCTGTGGGGCCGCGGGCAAGGTTTCAAGCGCTCCTTTGAGCCTCGTTTTCGCCTCCGTGCCCCCGAACGGCAGACGGAGTGTCGCTGACAGAGACAGTGCGCTTCCTTTCAGGTCGTGGGCGTTGGGGGCTTGACATAGATGGTATGTACAGGTATGTACCTATGTATGATGGAACAAGTCACTCTCGCGAACTCAGCGACTTCAGCCCACCAGCAGGCAAAGTCTGAGGTGCAGGGTGAGTGTCCATGTCGAATGGCGTACCCCCAAATCGTGATCCTTGCTGCTGGAGGTGGACCGGACCGGCACGGCACCCCTGCAGGATGCGACGATCCACGGCAACAGCAGCTTGACTGTTTTTGGCCGTGTCAGCTGGAGATGTCTACATCACACACACACAGCCTCGCTGTGAGACGACCTAGTACCCTGCCAAGTGTCGAAAAAAGTAAAACGCGTGAACCCCGGCCGACACAAGCGGCCGCACCGCCCACGGCGCGTCGAAGCAGGCGTGCAAGCTCGCAATCCCTGGCGATGGCGGCGCGTGGGCTGCCGGGTGTGAAAAAGTACAGCTTCATCAGCTCGTCGGTGAGCTCGGCGTACCTCCTCGCCCGAGGCCACATCTCCTCCTCGAACTCCTGCACCGCGCGGCCGAGACGCTTCAGTAGTCCCTGGCCAGACGCCGCCTCGCTGGGTCTCGCCTAGCATCCTCCAGTCCAACGTTGACCCCCTCCCCGGCATAGGGCGTCATGACGTGCGCCGCGTCCCCCACCAGCGTGACGCCCGGCCGGTGTTCCCAGCGGAACCCGACGGGCAGCGCGTACAGGGCGCGCGACGTGCAGCCGCCCTGGGCCTTGTCGACCGCATCCCTCAGTAGTGGGTGGTAGTCCCCGAAGGTTCCACCACCGGTGTCGCCGGACCCGAGGAGCAACTCCTTGACCTGCGCCAGCGGCCGCGCCAGCCTCCGCTCCTCGCCGATCCACGCCTCGTCGGTGACGCGGAAGGTAACGGCGACGTGGAGTTCTCCCAACCCGCCCATCTGCGCACCGAGACTCGCCGGCCCTCGGCGCAGGCAAAGGTGCTCCCGTGCCGGTTGCGCGCGTGCAGCTCCGGCGTGCGCGCCCCCGGGTCCGGGACCGACATGTCGTACATGCCGAGGCCGGCAAATGCGGGCTGCACGTCGCCCAGGAACGCCCGCGTCCTGCTCCAGGCCCCGTCGGCACCCGTCGACGACCAGGTCATAACCACCCACGGTCATGTGCTCGAACACCAGCTGCAGCCGCCGCCCGCCTTGCTCGCCGTCCGCAGCCTCGTCGACCCGGACCAGGCGGTGGCCCCAGCGGATCGTGTCAGCGGACAGGCTCTCGGTGAGCAGGCGCCGGAGCTCGCTGCGGTCGATCTCGGGCCGGCGCCCCCCGCGGCCGCTGCCGGCAGGGGACGGGTCCAACTGGAGCTGCACATTGAGGTCCTTGTCGGTGATGAACATGGACTCGCCGTCATACCGCGCGAGCTTCTCGAACTCGTCAAAGAGCCCCGCATCCTTGAGCGCCGCCAGACCCGTGTCGGTGCGCAGGTCCAGCGTGCCGCCCTGCGAGCGGTAGTTGGGCGAGGCGTCCGCCTCGAAGACGGTGTAAGGGACGTTGGCGAGCTGGAGCAGACGGGCTAGCATGCAGCCTGGGGATGCGACTCAGCGGATCGTGGTCTGGGTTGGGTTGGTGACAGTATGGCGATGCTTACCAACAGGCCCTGCACCGATGATGGCGATCCTGATTCTAGTGGCGTCCATGGTTGTTGACTGTGGGCAGTTGCTTGTTCCAATCCAGCAACGTCGTGAGTTTGAAACAAGGGAGGGCCCGGTGGGAATAAAAGGGCCCGGCGAACCCTCTACTACGTTCACCCCATTACGCTAGCCTTCAATCATGTGCCTAGAAAGCGAGGCGATTGACGCGTCAGCTCGTCCGCCCTGTCAGTCGCTAGCGAATGCGAGTGCGAGCTGAGATCAAGGCTGTAGTGTAAGTCGGCATTTTGCATGGTACGACTAGTATCCCAGATAGGAAGAATCCATATGGACATGATACGGAATAATGGGGAAATGATACAGCATTGCTGGTTTTGACAAAAGAAGCTGAGCGTTGTATGAACAGGTCTGGAAGATGCAAGAGAAGCAAGGACACCAAGCCAGCCAATGCCAATAGTAATAAGCATGGTAGCACGCGCTCACCACAAAAAAGGAAGGTGGTTCTTTGTTGGAATAGGAATAAAAATGGTATAAAAATATGCACAAAAACAAGAATAAAGAAAAGAATAGGAAAAGAAGAAATATAGGAAAGCTTACGGGCACCTGATAACAATTGTATTTAATCTTTGGGACTTGCAAAACTGCCATCCTTCTTGTGGTGTGCGTAAGTGCATGGGTAGGTACGTTCTTTGGCCTACCTTCTGGTGGCCATCGCCATGCCGACACCACACATTGTCGTTTACTTGTATATATGTTTTAGCCCACCGCCTTGGGCAGCCGTTATGACCGTTGGCCCTCGGCGGCAAATCCTCGCCTGCTCTCGGTCTCCGCGTACATCACGATATGCTTCTACGTGCCGTCCTTGTTTCTGGGTTCACTTATCTGGGGTCCACGCATCTGGGGTCGTACTGAAAGAAGACACGGCCGGCGGGTATTAGTTTTTGAATCTTCTCGGAGGTATTACGGGTTGTTTTGCAGCGGCTTTAGCTTGCAAATAAGACGGCATGTATGCTGATACCGGCCAGATAAGGATTCCATACATAGGCTGGCCGCCGCCGAAATCGTCGCGGAAAGGATCGCGGCCTTCTTGGTATGACCTACCGATCATCAGGTCGAGCGCTGTGTCGGAAATAGGCGCGGAGTAGGGGGAATAGACCCTCGGGGGCCACCCCACAGAGAGGCGCAGAGGAGATATAATTCGGTGGTGAGATTAAGGTGGAAGTGGAGGATGGGAAGACTGAAGACCGCTGGAGGGCTTAGAAACGGGGGTTTACATCAATTTTGTCGTCCAGTGGGCTGCTCTTTCACTTGCTGAAATTTCCACCTCGATCATCCCATCGACCCTCAGCGACAAGCCCACCACAAGAAAAATCCAATGGCAGTGTCACAGCTGGAGGTCCCAGGGATTACAATTGTTAATGCTATGGGCTTTCCTATTGTTATTCCTCTTGCTCTTGTTATTTCTGTCGTTATTTCTGTCGTTATTCTTGCTTTTATTTTTATTCCTGCTCTTGCAGTCCTCGCAGCCTTTCTGTTCTTCAAGTGAGATTGGCATCTCTTTGTAGTGGGCGTGGGCCGCAAGTGCTTGCCTGCTCTCGGCCTGCGCATGTTTCCCTCCTGCTTCAGCGCTACGACGCCGTCCGTGAGCGGCTATGCACAAGCCCCTCCGTGACAGACAGCTGACGAGTACTGCCGCCAAGCCTGCCTCTACCATAACACCCCCATCACGCATTGCCGGCCAACATACCCATCTCCCATACTAGCGGGTCATGTCGGCCATCCATCCGTCTTAACATGTCGTCAAGGGGGTTGTTCAGACCAAGGCGCCCGCTGCCGTGACCAACGGTAGAGGGCAGTGAATGTAGCCCTTGCGCGTGGAACAGCTTGTCAAATCACGTCACCCCGGGGCTTTAAACCCTCTCGGCGCAGGCATCCATCCACCCAGCAGTTCACACGACGCTCCTTTCAACTCTTCTTCCGCGTGAACGAACCTTACACCAAGCCATGCGACCCCTAGCATCCCTCCCCGTCTCGGGATTCGCGGCTGCCGTCGCCGTGGGCATCGCCAGCCACAGCTTCACCACAACCGGCACGCCCAGCGGCGGCTTCGCCATCCCCGCGGGCACACCCGACGGCGTCTACTCGGTCCGCCTGCACCCGGACGGCACGGCCAACCACACGCTGATGGCGTACATCGACATGGACCGGCCCACCACCACCATTACCACCAGCCACAACTCACCACAACCCCCACCGCAGCTGAGAAACCACGCCCACGGCGGCGGCGGCGGCGTCCTCTCCCGGCGTGGCACGTGGGGCATCGACTGCGGCGGGCGCGGCAACATGGACCCAACCAACGCGTGCGCGGCCGTGGACGGGCTGGCGTCGCTGTGCGGCGGGCAGCGGGGCGCGACGGCGGTCGGGGCCGACGTGTACGTGTACGCGCTGCGCAGCAGCATGGCCGCCTTCTTCTGCGTCTTCGCGGGCCCGCCGCGCGCGTGCTACGACGCCGAGTCGCGCTGGGCGTTTCAGCAGATCGTGCGCGTGTGCGGCGCCGACGCCGAGGGCTGGATGGACTGGTGGGACGTGAGGACCAAGGAGTACACTTATGGGTATCACAACGCCAAGTCCGGGGTGGACTTTTGCGGGAGGAGGCATGGGTAGGGGATGTATTCTCAGGGGCACAGGGAGATGGGGAGCTACCCGCAAGGCACGGGAAGCTAACTTGGCTTAACTAATGCCAATAAATTTATTAAAATTATTTAAAATAATACAAAATCCTTTGTTTATACCTGGGCCCTTGGCTTCAATGGTTAACGCCGCCGCCGCCGCTCGTCGAGGTGCTGCTACTGCTACCCACCTTGGCCCAGGTGACGTCGAGCTTATCCCCGTCCAGCCGCTCGGGCAGACGGCGGTGCTGAAGGTCAGGTGACCGTTGTCGGCCTCGTCCCTGTCCCAGCCGGGTGGGTGGCAGGTCTCGAAGCGCGAGTTCTCCGTGTTGGAAATAAGGAAGGGAAGCGTTAGGAGAGATGCTGTGGCGCCGTTTCGTGGAACGGTACCGGGGCTGCGGGTGATGATGCGCGTCTTGCTCCAGGTGTCTGCGCACGAGGCTGCCTGGACGAAGGGTGTCGTCAGGGTCGCGAACCACATCGTCGTCGGGACTGATGTCGACAACATTGTGATGCTGCGATGCCACGAATCCGGGATGCTTGGGATGGCAGGGTTTACAGAAACGCGGGATGGGATGAGAGACGGCAGCCTGCAGGAACAGGAGATGTCCCCGCTATATAAGCCGCGCTCTTTCGCTTGGTAGGGTAAATGCAGCATCCCTCCTCTCGAAGCGTTCTTTATACGCCTGTCGTTTCGGAGATGGCCGATTGGAGAGCCCCTATTATCCCATCGTACAGTTTGTCCACCGCTGCTGGCGAGCTGTCTGTCCCGGTCCAGAGGCTTGCATCCTCCTCCACCGGAAACACGATCTGCCGGATCGACTCGGCGACCGGCTTTAGCGAATGGAAATCCGATGGAAACTCCTCTAGTATTCTCAAAAAGCCATCCTTTTGCATGTCCGAAATCTTGAGAGTCGCAATGTCGTCATAGCAATCGCCTTCTCTCTCCTATTGGCTCCATTTTCGAAGTTTGCTTGTTGGTGGGGGGCTATCCGTTCGGTTTGCGATGATGGTATATAGAAGGAGGTAAAGAAAAGCCTCCAGGTCGTGCCGGTGCGTGTGCAGCCTCCCCTTCAGGACGCCGATGGCCATGAACGGGCGCGTGCCAACTATTGTGCCCGGTGCCTGTGGCATGTCGGCCAGGCGCACGGCCGAGTCGAGGTCTATCAGGATTCCTCTCGAGGTGCCCGAAGCTTCATTATCGGCAATGACGACGTTGCCCATGGACACGTCCTGGTGGAGGACGCCGGCGGTTTGCAGGAGGGATCGGTGGGCCGTGACGGCGTCTCGAAGCACCTGGAGCAGCTCCGTGGCTGTCTTGAACCTGTGCAGAGGCCTGCCGGCCGGCGATAGGACGACGCATGTGAAGATGCGGTTCCGGAGCCACATGTCTGTTTCCTCGGTGACGGCAGCGATGCCTTTGGTGTCACCAGCCAGCCTGTCCTTCTGCTGCTTCTCGGCTCCAAGGTCTTGCGGCTTGTTGCTCGACTTATCGGGAGTCACAAGCCTTCGATAAGGCCCCCACCGCAACTCGCTCCTCAAATCTGCCGTGCTCACAAGCTCTTTGTAATAGACCAAGGAGACCACATTTGGAACGTGCTTCTCCCCTGTTAATAGAAGTAGACCGTCCTCCCGCTGGTTACGCATCCACCGCCACTTGAACTTGAAGACGTAGTCCCATCGGTTTGAATCTGGGGATCGGGCCTTGTAGCACACAGTGCCGACGCCGACAAGGGTTTGTCTCTGGCTCAGGGGCTCTTCGTGGAGATAGAGTCTCGCTGGTGATGGCGAAGAGCCGTCTAGCGTGATGAAGTCGCCGCCATCATCGTGCTTTATGATATCGTTCGTCCCCAGGTCGCCGTCTGTCATCAGCCGGTAGCTGCGTAGGATGGAGGCAATCTGTGCAGCATCGGTGTCCGGCTCAAGTGGCTCTGAGCTATAGAGGCCGGAACGGTCAAACACCCAGAACTCGACCACCGGCAAGCGGAAGCTCGCCGCCCCCTCGCACCTTGGCCTGTCGGGCCTTATTGCGAGGGACCGGTTTATCATCCCGGCGGATTAGCACGTACCTTAAGCCTGAAGGCCCACTCGTTTCCGCGCGTTGCGATGGCCTCGACGCTACTCGAGGCTCGCCACAGGATTGGCCGCCGCGGCTTGCAGAAGCAAGCCGCGGTGATGGCGTCCCTTGTACCAGGTAGTGTCGCCTACGTTAAACAAGCAAAAAAGCCTGCCAGTCCGCCCGATAGTTGGGGGCTCCCCCGCGGACTACGACGTTAGATTAGCGCCCACATTCATTATTACAGGCCTCACAATGGCTCGACTCCGCTAGCCCGAAGGAGCCGATAGTCCCTTTAAAAAGCCTGCGCGCCGCCAAAGCGACGCGGGCTATTTAGCAGGTTAAGGTCTCGTTCGTTATCGCAATTAAGCAGACAAATCACTCCCCCAACTAAGAACGGCCATGCACCACCACCCACAAAATCAAGAAAGAGCTCTCAATCTGTCAATCCTCGTTGTGTCTGGCACTCATACAGGCGGCTTTACGCCACCCCCATCCTGCTTCGTAAACTCGGAACTATTCAGGATAGCCACGGTTGCCCGTGGGATTAGTACGTACCTTGAGCTTTTCGGCTTATTGCTTAGCGTGCGTTGCAACGGCCCGACGCTATCAGCGGCTAGCGCCGTCCACTATTTCTGTGTGAGGTAAAGCGCTTGGCGATACCGGAATAGGAAAGTGGCATGTCTGTCGGACCAGGTCTATCCACCGGGGTGGGCCGTGCACTCACGTGCCCTAGCACATAGGCCGCAATTTCTGAAGATTGCACGCGCGAGGTGACCTGCTGACTAAGATCGTCAAGAATATGACAATGTGGGTCAGCAAACTGGGTCACGGCCGAACGCAGGCTGCTGGTTGTCCGTCAATCACGGTCATCGACAGGTTCTCCTTCGGGCAGGAACCACTGAGGTACTGAGAATACAGCATAACGTGGATGGGGCTAATCGCTGCCCGGTGCTAAATATAACTACTGCTACCACCATGACTACCACTACTTTTCAAATGCTTTCAGCATTCCGTTAATCGCAAAAGCACCAAGAGCCTCCAGGTTCCCCATCCCAAGCAGCTCCAGCATGCTAATGTTGAAGCCAAAGGTGGCGCGCCACCAGCTGCGCATCTCGATGGCCACCAGCGAGTCCATGCCGAGATCTGACAGGGCGACAGACGTCTGGATCTCGTCCTCGGGCCGGAGCACCAGCGTGAAGAGCTTCTTGCCAATCTCGCGCGCCAGGAAGTCGACGGCGCCCGCCTCCTTCAGCGGCCCCTCGTCGCCGCCGCCCTGCGCCGCCTTCAGCCAGGTCTTGAGCGCCTCGCTCGACGACGAGGAGCCACCCGGCCCCGAGCCGTCCTCGCCGGCCGCCATGTTGCGGTACGCCGCCATGCGCCGGTCCTTCCTCCACAGAGATCGGTTGTTCGGGCTGGTCAGCGGCGTCGTCGAGGCCAGGCCCAGCACAAAGTTGGCCCCCGTGGCGGCGCCCCCCTCCCTGAGCAGCATCGACGCCTCGAGGGCCTCGAGGAGCTCCGCCTCGCTGACCATGTACGCCCCCGTCGTCTTCATGGCGCGGCGGATGGCCTCGTTCTCAGCGACGACGCCGACGTCGTCGATGGCGCCGATGTCGACCGAGGACGCCGGCAGGCCCCGGGACAGGCGCCAGCGCGCAAACGAGTCGAGGAACGCGTTGGCGGCCGCGTAGTTGGCCTGGCCCGGCTGGCCGACGATTCCCGAGATGGAGGAGAAGAGGACGAAGAAGTCAAGGCGGGCGCAGCCCAGCGTCGCGAGGTGCAGGTTCCACGTGCCCTGGACCTTGGGCGCGACCGCTCCCCGCCACTCGTCGAGCGTCATGCTGTCCCAGGCGCGGTCGCGCAGGACCATGGACATCTGCATGACGCCGCGCAGGCGCGCGGGTCCGCCCGCGGCCTCGACGGCCCGCCGCACGTCGGCACACTCGCACACGTCGCCCCGTACCAGCGTCGCGCGCGCGCCCATGCTGTTCAGCTCCTCGATGAAGGCAGCGTCCCCGGCCCCGGACCCGGCGCCGCGCGAAAGGTAGACGAGGTGCCGCGCCCCGCGCCCGACCAGCCAGCGGGACACGGCCTGGCCCAGCCCTCCGAGGCCGCCGACGAGCAGGTACGAGGCGTCATCAGGGCCGTCGCCGCCGAGGGAGAGCTCCCTCCTGCGCGTGGCGGCCGCCAGCTCCTCCTCGGGGTCTGCGTCGGGGGATTCCAGGATCTTGATGACGATCTTGCCCATGTGGAGCCCCTGCTGCATGAAGCGGAAGGCCTCGCGGACCTTTCCGGCGCTGAAGACGGTGACAGGGCGGATAGGCTGGATGTGGCCGTCGTTGTAGCAATCGACGATGCGTCGAAGAAGCCTGCGTAGGTCTTGTCAGATTCTGAGGTAAAGCTGGGGGTTGGAGGGAAATCCGAGCACTGGAGCGGGTGTGCGGGGTTTGCTCAAGTACTGCTGACGGGAAGCTCCTCTCGGCAATATCGGGACTTACTCCTTGCAAATAGCCCGCCTCTTGAAGCAAAGCTGGTCCAGGTCGACGCAGCAGTAAGACCGATTGGCCAGGAAGACGTCCATCTCCAGCCTACCAGAGCCGAGCAGATCTCGCTTGCCAATCTCAACCATGATGCCGAATTCGGCGACACATTTCCACGTGGCATGCAGCAGCTCCCCGGAAAGAGAGTTGAGAGCGAGATCGACGCCGTTGCCCTTGGTCACGGACTTGATCCCCTCGACGAAGGACGTGTCTCTCGAGTTGAAGATGTGGTGTCGGGGGATGTCGAATGTGTCCATGAGATACTTGACCTTCTCTTCGCTGCCTACCGTCGTGTAAATGACGGCACCGGCCATGCGGGCGAGCTGGATGGCGGCGATACCGACGCCGCCGCAGGCACTGTGGATTAGGACGGACTGTCATAAGGTATGTATGTCAGCTCACCTTGGATCTACTGCCATGAAGTCATCTAGGGCTGTATCCTACCTGTCCTCGCTGCAGACGGCCAATGTTGAAAAGCGAGTAAATCGCCGTTGCGTAGACGCAAGGCATGGTCGCGGCGTCCTCTAGCGACAGGCCGTCGGGTATCTTCTCACAAAGCTCTTCGGGAATGGTGATAGAGGTCGAGAAGGAGCCTCGGTTCAGCAGGAAGACGCGGTCACCGGGGCGGAGGTGCCTGACGTCTGGGCCGACTGCGGAAACGACGCCCGAGGCCTCGAGGCCGAATCCCTCCTCGGGTATGTCGACGATGCCGTTGGCGCTCAGAACATCCTTGCAGGAGCAAACGTGTTAGCCAGTCACTATTCACACACACTCTCGTCTGTACTCTACCTGCAGCACTCACCCTAAAGTTCAGCCCGGCGGCCGAGACCTTGACGTCGACGAGGTTCCCCTCGAGCGGTGTGGGGGCCTGACGGCTCCAGGTCAGGGCCGCGAGCAGGCCGGGCTTCTCGGTGCGGAGCACGACCCGGTCGCCCGCGTCGGCGCACCGCAGCTCGTCGGCGAGCGAGAAGGGGTAGAAGCGCCCCGTGTGCACGACGCCGCCGACGACGGCGTACTCGTAGTCCGGGTCCAGCGCCGCGGGGTCGCCGTCCGACCCGGCCGCCTCCTCGCGCGCCGCAGCAAAGTGCGCAAAGACGGCGGCGACGCTCCCGGCCGAGGCGCGCGGGTCGTCGACCTCGCACGTGGCCAGGGCGGCGCCGACCTCGGACCGGAGCGCGCGCGCGACCCCGATAACCTGCGCGTGCGCGGGACTCTCGACGGGTGCCACCTGGCAGAGCCGCGTGAGCCAGAGGATGGCGGCACCGCCGGCCGCGGCTGCGCCGACGAGGCCCCTGAAAGCCCCGTACCGCTCCTCGTCGATGCCGTCGAAGAAGGCTTCGGGCCCGTGGTCGAGCAGCGCGATGACGTCCTCGCCCGGGGGAACCTCGTCGCCCAGCCCCCTCTGGTTCGCGACGAACCCGAGCACCCCCAGCTCCCTCTTCAGCTCGTCGAGGACGGGGAGGTCCTCGCCGGGGCGGCAGAGCAGGGTGACCTCGCGGCCGGACGGGGACCTGGCCACGGTGCCGGCGTGCCGGACGATCATCAGGTTGTTCTGCCGCAGGTCCTCGCGCGGCGAGTCCGGCACCGAGGCCGAGACGGCTAGGCCGGCGTCGGCGAGGGCCCGGCCCCAGGCGGCGAGGTCGATGTAGGGCTCCTCGGCCCTGCCGTCGGCGACGCCGCTCCACCAGCGGGGCATGCCTCCCATGACGAAGTTGAGCCACCTGGACGACGGGCCGGGCGAGAACTCCTGCAGGAGCACGCGGCCGCCGGGGCGGAGAAGCCGGCGCAGGTTGGTCAGCCCTTCCGAGAGCCTCGGGGCGGCGTGGATCACGTTGGTGGCGATGATGACGTCGTAGCCTTCCTCGCTGTCGCCCGCGAAGCCCTGCTCCTCGAGCGGCTGGGAGATGTCGAGGGCCCGGTACTGCATGTTGGCGGCGGCCCTAAAGCGCTCCTTGGCCGCCGTCACGACGCCCGAGGACGGGTCGGTGAAGGTGTAGGTCGAGTACAGGACGGGCCCGCCGGGCTGCTGCTCGTGGACGAGGCTGCGGAGGGCCTCGACCGTGCGCTCGCCGTTGCCGGCCTCGAGCTCGAGGACGCGCATATCCGGCCGCGAGCGCGCGAGCTGGCGCAGGAGGCGGGACGTGTCGAAGGCGGCGTCGCGCAGGGCCTTGATCTTGGCGAGGCTGTCGTCGGCTAGCAGCACGTTGGACGCGCCGATGCGGCCCTGGAAGATGCCGGTGATGCTTGAGAGCACGTTGAAGACGGCCAGGGCCGTGCCGGCCGCGGCCGTGCCGCGGAGCGCGAGCAGCCGGGACTCGACGGCCTCAAAGAGGGCCCAGTCCGCCATGGCGACCGTGGCCGCGTCGGCCCTCGACGCCTGCTCGCTGATCCAGGCGCCGTACCGCGCCATGAACGGGAGCTCGGTCCGGAGGCTGGCGAGGCGCCGCTGCGCGTAGACGAGGCAGAGCTGCGTCATCTCGTCGAGCACGGGCAGGTAGAGGCTGCGGTCCTCGGCGGCGGGCGTGTCGACGAGCGACCGCTCGTCGAGGAAGTCGACATGGGGCTCCCAGCAGTAGCGGGCGGTCGAGTGCGCGCCCTTGACGGGCCCCTCGGGTCCCCCGCCCGGCATCGGTGCGAGGCGGGCCCCCGACATGGACAGCACGGCGCCGCCGCCGTCGGCCGCGAAGCACCGGCAGGACCCGGTGATGGCGCCGAGGCTGCTGATCTCGGCCTCGGACGAGATCTCGACGCCGGACTCGCTGCGGTAGACCTCGAGCTCCTCGACGAGAGTGGGGATGGCCATGCTGAGCTTCTGGGTGTAGCCCTTGGTCGCCGCCACGCTCAGTATCTGCAGGCAGGCGTCGAGGACGATGGGGTGCAGGTGGTACGGCTGCAGGGCCGCGCTCCCCTCGAGCCTCGGGGCCGCCACCTCGGCCGCCGCGGACCGGTCGAGCGTGCCCGTCCGGATGTTGCGCAGCGGCTGGAATAAGGGCCCGTACCGGAGGCCGACCTCCTGCATGATCTTGTACGCCTTGCGCGACCCAAGCGTGCGCGTCATGCTGTGGCGGGCGTCGTCGCCGGGGGCGGCGAGGATGCCGGCGCCGTCAGCGGCGCGGCTAAGGGACCGGACCTGCCCGGTGCAATGCTTGGTCCACATGACGCCGTTGTGGGACGCGATGCTGAACTCCCACCACTGGCTGTCGAGCGAGTCGGTCAGGCGGACGGGGCGCAGCGTGCTGAGGAGCTCGAGCGGCTTCCCCTCGGCAACGACGAGCGCCGTGCTGACGATGACGTGGCGGAGGGCGTAGCCGTCCTCCAGGCCCGTAACCTGCCTGGCCGCCTCGGCCGCCATGGCCATGTAGCCGGCGAAGGGGAATACGACGTTGTCGGCTATCACGTGGTCGCGGACCCAGGGGGAATGCTCGACGTGGAAGACGTTGCGCCACGTCGGCTCTAGATCGGTGCTCTCGGTCGTGCGGATACCAAGCAGCTCGTGGTAAGGGTGCTTGCGCAGCCGCCACTCCTTGGACGTCCTCGACTCCCACCACGCCGTCTCCTCGTGGTCCCAGGCGTACCGGGGGAGGTCGGGGAGGAAGGGGCTCGCGCCGGGACCCCCGGGCAGCAGGGAGCGCAGGTCGATCGCCACGTTGAGCTGATGCAGCTTGCCGATGGCCGTGAGGTAGCTCTCCACGCAGTTCCTGCTGCGGATCATGGCTGCCACGTAGGGCAGCGTCGCCGGGGGCGTGGCGTCGGCCATGATCTGCCGCAGGGGCGCGGCCATGGCCGAGTGTGGGCCGACTTCGAGCGTGACGGAGCGGTTCGGCTGCCCCGCCACGTCTGGGTTCCGGAGCATCTCGGAGACGGCGGTCGAGAAGAGGACGGGGCTCACGAGGTTGCTCGTCCAGTACTCGGGGCCCAGCGAGTCGCCCGGCCGGAGCAGCTTGCCGGTGACGCTGCTGTAGAAGAGGCAACTGCGGGCCCCGCCGGCGACGACGTCGTGGTGCTCGAGGGCGTTGCGGTACCACCCGCCCACCTCGGCCATGTGGTATGAGTGGTAGGCCTTGTCGATCTTGAGGAGCCTGGCCAGGACGTCCCTGCCGCCGGGACGGGACTGCTTGATCTTGGCCAGGACGGCCTCAACGGCGGGCGTGTCTCCCGAGATTGTGACGCTGTGCGGCGAGTTCTCGCAGGCGACGGCGGCCGTGGTGCCGGCCAGGTACGGCTTTACCTCGTCCCAGCCGAGTCCGACGGCGGCCATGCTCCCCTTCCTCTGCTGCATCTTGGCCGCCACTCCGCGGAGCCAGGCCACGACGATGGCCTCGCGGGCCGTGAGGGCGCCCGCGGCGTAGGCGGCGGCGATCTCGCCGCTCGAGTGGCCGACGACGGCGGCCGGCCGGATGCCCACGGCGGCGAAGGAGTCGACGAGGGCGACCTGGACGGCGGTGCAGAGCGGCTGCGACACCTCGGCCTGGTCCACGCGGCTCTGCTTGCCGGCCTTGAGCAGCTCCCGCTCGAGGCTCCACTCGGGCTTGACGAGCAGCGTCTCGGCGAGCGCGGCGTCGAGGGACCGGATTGTCGACCGGAACACGGGGCTCCCCTGCATGAGAAGCTCGGCGCCCATCGCCGGCCACTGCGCGCCCTGGCCGGTGAAGACCATGACGACGCCGGGGGGCTGCTGCGGCGCGCGGACGAAGGGGGACACGACGGAGCTGCCGCCCCTGGTCGCGACGGCGAAGGCGCGGTGGGCGAGGTGCTCTCTACCGTTGGCCAGCGTGTACGCCAGCCGGGCGAGCTTGTCCGGGTTGCTCTCGACGAAGGACTGGAAGTTGTCGACCGTGTTCTTGAGGGAGCTCGACGAGTTGGCCGAGTAGAGGAGAAGCTGCGGCTCTTCCGCGGGCACACGTGCCTCGTCAGAGGAGGAGGAGATGGAGGAAGAGGACGGGGTCAAAGGCAGGGCCCCAGCACCAACACCGTAGGAGCTGGCGGACTCGAGAATCGCGTGGGCGTTGGTGCCGCCGATGCCGAAGCTGTTGATGCTCGCGCGCTCGCAGCGGCCCGCGGGCCACGGCGTGGGGTCGACGGGCACGACGAGCCTACTCTCCTCGAAGGGGATGTTGGGGTTGGGCTTTGAGAACTTGATGTTGGGAGGGATCACGCGGTTCTCGAGGGCCATGACGACCTTGATGATGGAGGTCAGGCCCGACGCGCCCTCGGAGTGGCCGAGGTTCGGCTTGACGGAGCCGATGTACAGCTCGCGCTCCTTGCTGCCGAAGACGCGCGCCACGGCGCTCGTCTCGATGGGGTCGCCGGTGGGCGTGCCGGTGCCGTGGCACTCGACGAAGGTGGTCTTGGAGAAGTCGTCGATGCCCGCGAGCTCGTAGGCCTTGCGGATCAAGGCTTCGTGGCTTTCGGTGCTGGGCATGGACACACCTTGGGTTTTGCCGTCGGCCTTTTTTTTATGTTCAGAGTTAGCCAGCCCATGGGATAAGCACGTCATGATTTCCATTCCCCCTTGCACATGATATTCTGGGCCACCCACGTTCGTCGCCGTCTGCTTGATGATGGCGCGCACCGGGTTCCCGTCCCTGAGCGCGGCGTCGAGTGGCTTGATGTACAGGGCCGAGACGGCCTCGCCGCGGCCGTAGCCGTCGGCATCGGCCGAGAAGGTCTTGCAGGAGCCTTCGGGCGAAAGGACGCCCTGTTCACTCATGGCTTGCGTCATGCCCGGTGCCAGGATCAGATTGGCGCCACCGACGATGGCGGAAGAGCAGTCGCCACGCTGAATGGCTCGGCAGGCCTCGTGGAGGGCAACCATCGCCGCCGAGCAGGCGGTGCGGACTGTCATGCTGTGGGGGATGTCGTCAGCGGGCTTGCTACAAGAGAGCGGTTCTGGCGAGCACGGTCCTCACCTGGGTCCCTTGAGGTCCAGCTCGTACGACACGTGGTTGGACAGCATAAAGTCGCCGGAGCCGGTGGTGCGGTAGACGCTGTAGGGCTGGTTCTCCTTGGCGTTCATCTCGACCCAGTCCTCGCCGAAGCTGCCGACGTAGCAGCCGATGAGGCCGCCGCGCCAGCCCGTCACGCCGGCGTCCTCGAGGCACTCGCGCGCGACCTCCATCATCTGGATGTGGTGGGGGTCCATGCGCTCGAGCGAGCCGCGCACGAAGCTCGAAAAGGCGCCGTCGACCTTTGTCAGGTCGACGTCGAGGAAGTAGCCGTGCCGGGTGTTGACGGTGCCCGGCCGGCCCGAGGGGTCGTAGAAGGCCTCGACGTTGTACCGGGACTCTGGCACCGTCGACTTGGCGTCGCCCTTGGCGAGCAGAAACTCCCACAGCTGCTGCGGGGTGTGCAGCCCGCCGGGGAGGCGGCAGGCCATGCCGCAGATGGCTATTGGGGCGTCCGGGGTGGGTGCGGGCAGGGGTGGTGGGCCCGTGCCGTTGCCGTTGACGTGCCCGTTGAGGCTGTGCAGGTAGCCGTTGTGTCCGTTGGACGTGGCATCTTGGCGGCTGCCGTTTAGACGCGTGGCTTTGCTGCCGTGTAACACCGAGTGATCGACGGAAGCGGGCAGGCCTTCGTCAAACCGGTCCCCATTGTTTACGTGGATGATGCTGGGTGCCATTCTGAGACACTTGAGGAAGCCTGCTAGCCTCTGGGTTTTGATCTTTGCGTTTTCTTGTGACGCGTCGTCGTATGATGCTCGTTTGATCAATGGTATTCCTACTGACAGCCGCAGGGCACCGACAAGACTTTTATAACATCGCCGTTTGTCACAAAGGGGTTTGTACCTATCCTACATGGATGGTGTGTGTAGGCGTTCCCATTTTGGCATCGTGGTGTAGTGGGTAAATCTCACTCGTCTGGGCATATCTTGCCTCCAGCCTCGTTGACCCCTAACAAGTGTCACCGTGGGATGAAAATGGAGGTATCAGATAACGCCACGGACATTCTAGGCCCCAGCCTGCTGCAAGCTCCGCTCGTCCATGTTCGCGGGGTAGAGCCGAGATGGCTTACACAGGCCATATCGAGTTGCCCACACACGATCCTCCCGGAGTCCGCGTCCCAGATCCCGCATCCCGGATCCCGCGTCCCGAAACAAGGCGCCCGGTGGCGGCTGGTCAGCACCACAGCGGCAGCGAGCGGGTTCCGAGCCGGGAAGATCGATTAGAGCGTCGGGGTGAGAGTATTGCGAGGCACAGCAGGTTCTTTGCGTTTGGGGTGGTTGGTAAGATATCCTGTTCTGCTGAGCGAGCTCACTGCGGGCTTAGTCTAGAAAAAGCCTGCAGCCACCTTGGCATTTTCCACACCACCAGCGAGATCACCGACATGCGGCCGAGGCCGGTAAGCACGACGGCGGCGTCGACAGTGAAACGTACGCGTAGCTGGTGGCCCTGCCCCGGGTTCTAGAACGGCGCGGGATCCACTGCAGGGGCCAGCGCCGACTCCTTCGTGCGCGGAATTACAGCCGCTGCGCCCTGCGTGTACTGACATGTAAGGACCCTATGCCGCCGAGCGTGCCATCAAGACCATCACGCTCGGCACCGTCATGTCGATTTGGGGCTCGCCGTAAATGGCGTTCTTGCTACTTTAACCACCACGGCAGGACGCGCCGCTCGCTTCGCCCGCTGGCGCCAACGCGATGCCTCATTGCATCATGCGGTGAGGCAGTACCACCTGCCCAATCGATACTCGGAGAGGTGGACCGACCTTCCACGCGACTGGGACGTCGCAACGAGTGACAATGAAGGGATCACCGAACACTGCACCTCACACCAAAGGGGCCTATTGTATGTTAGTTAGTGGCTGATGGCCACGAGAACCACTTCTCGTCGAATTTCGAACTTTGCTCTCAAGAATACACAAATTATTATCATCACGCTTTGCATGCCTCCACGTTGCCCACACCCGCTTGAGCCCGTTGCTAGTCTGTACAAAATGCATATCATATTCCTAGGTAAAAAAATATTACACCTCGCACTTCTGTGCACCAACACAGCTCTCTCCAATGTCGATAGTGGAGGCCGTAGACCGATTTGCAAAAGGAACCAAAGCAATTAAATATTGTGTAGATCTTTTGGATGTTAAAATATCTAGGCTGCTAAATACAAAGGGGGAGCATTGGACAGACAACGGATGCCCAAAAAAAGACTCGTGTCCAACACCGAGGATCACTTACAGTACATGAGGCACAGGTAGCTCTCAACCAGGAGGCCACCAATGCACATTTGTAGCAAAAGATGCGCGTACATGACGGTCAGGAAAGGGGGCGCCGACAGCTGAGGCAAGGCCGGCCACCATGCACTGCTACGCACACCCAGTACGTGGCGGAAGCTCACCGGAGATTTTCGCTCTGGGTGGGCTGCATAAATATCGACCAAGCTCGCGCGGCGTGGGAGACACGTGGCGGGAGCTGGGTCTAAGTTGCCAAGCCGGGTACTATTGGCCGCTAAGCGCAATGGGCTTTACCAGGGGTTGAGCATGTTTCATGGAGATAGCGCGGTTGAAGGCGTGGGGGCCGCGGGCCAGGTGCATCAGGGTGTCTTCTCTGGAGTGAGTCGATCGAACGGACGGGCAAAGGTAGCGCGCCCGGTTTCCCGACAGCGCGGACTTTCGGATCAGGCACATTATCGAAGAATCAAGGAGCATTCAAAGGGTGAAGGAGGAAGAATGATAGCAGCTTGGGGGTGATGACGAGCCACTGGGGTAATCCAGTTGGAAATTCAGGGAACTCGAGTGCTTAGGTAGCGCCAGCGGGCGAACCGGAATTCCCTTAGTTGACCATGCATTGATCAAGGCTGCCGGTACCTCTGGCACACCAGGAAACTCTAGGAGGCAGATGTACTGCGAGTATCAGCGGCCGGGTGCAACGGGCCTCCTGTCATCCTGTCCGTCATATTTTAGCGCTGACGTTGGCTGGGGTATTTGTGAGAGCCCTTCCGGACGCTGCCTAGCCCCGGGGGCCTAGTCATCTCACCTATTGGTAGATAAGACGAAAGGGCACACACGCCTCGTATGTTCCGACGCGTTATCGAGGGTCGGCCCTGGCCGGTGAGACGACGGGTAATTCGGGGCGGAAGAAATCGCCTACCTCCCATCTCCATGTACCGTCAAGCTAGGGTATGTCCGCGCCCATGCTAGTTGCGGCCTAGCCCCGACTGATGACAAGATCAAAAGGCGTTTGACCACACTCAATTTAGCAGCGTTGGTACCATATTAGCTATTCCGATTATAACAAGGCTTATTTGCGCAAAGCGGCCGTTGTGATGCTTGTGTTCCATGCAGAATGTTCTTGGAGTGCGAGCGGAGATCTCTTGGAACATCCGAGTATCCCCGTTCCTTGTGGAGAGGGGCGAAAAGCGAGAATAATACGCATAATATAAAGAGCTGCTCGGGTTCCGGGCTGTCGCCGATCTTCGGTGCTTGGACGCCGAGTGTCACGAGGAATAGGAGTTGAAAACAGAGAAGGAAAAACACATCCATTCACAGGCCGTGCAACCATGTCGGGCAAGAAGCGAAGCCGAGACGGTGCCGAAGAGGTTTGTCCATCCTGTTTGTGCTGCATGTCTCTCCGGCACCACCCCATGCTATCCGACCAAGGAGAAGGGAGAGGAATCCGGCGAGGGCAGAGGTTCCAGAACGCTAATGAATGGCGACTGACCGACTCTCTCGCGCATACAGGAGGAACCAAATGCAAAGGATCATATGGGTACGTTGTGAACTGGTGTTCCATACCTAGCTCCGATGCGCGAAGGGTGCACAGCGGCTTAAGTCCGAGCACCTTGCATTAACGAGAAACTATTCGCAGCGTGTGACCAATGCCGTATCAAGAAGATACGATGTGGAAAAGAGCGGCCGCAGTGCTCCAACTGCAGCCGGCTCGCCATGTACTGCGAATGGTCTGGCTACGGCAAGAAGCCGAACCAAACAGTACTGCTGTAAGACCGTTTTCTCAAACCCTGGCCGCGTCATTGTCTAGTGCCCCTTCCGAGGGCCTTTGCTAAGGAACGGGGACGGGTGAATCCCATGCGGCGGAATTCTGCCGTGTTATAGTGCCAAGGGTTTAACGTTGGCTAACCAAATGAAATATGCGTGCAGCCACCAGTCGATTGCGACCATCGACAGCCGGCTTGAGCGTATCGAGGGTAGGGTGACCAGTGTGTACCAGATGCTGCAGAACATGAGCTCTGACTGCGTCGCTGCTGTCAAGCCCTACAGCGGAGGCGGCGGCGGCGGCGGCGGCGGCTCGATTCCGGAGACCGACTCGGGCTACGGTTATGTCCCCAGTATGACCTCGTCGAATCTCCTGAGCGGCTCGCCAGCAGGGGTGCCGCCCCCGCCCACGGTGCAGCACATCGTGCATGGGCCGCGCGGCTACGAGCGTTACTTTGGTCCCACATCCCTTACGTCTCTGCTGCACAACTTTGACGATCTCCCGATGCCGCGACCGAGCGGTAGCGGTAGTGGCGGTAGCCAAGCAAAGCCAAGCATGGTGCTTGCGACAGCGGCAGCACCACCAGATCGGGCGCCGGCAGCGGCTGCAGCAGCAGCGGGAGGGGCACATGGCAGCCTGGCGGACGCCGCAGAGCGCGTGAGGCGGCTCGCATCGGTCCACCGGGAGCGCCAGGGGGCCAGGGACGCCACCGCCGGCGGGGCGGACGGCAGGGCCATGGTGAAGGAGCCCTCGATGCTGATCCTGGTGGCCCTCATCGACCCCTACTTCGAGCTGTGCAACCCGCACCTGCCCATATGGACCCGGGCCGGGTTCCGCAGGCTGCTCGACGCGGCCCAGGAGAGCGGGGGCGGAGCCGCCCCCTCCACGTCCTTGACGTTCGCCATGTGCGCCAACAACCTGGTGCTACTGACGCTCATCGACAGGGCCCTACGTGTGCAGGCGACCAGCGGCGGCTCTATGCGGTGCAACGGCACCATCGACGTCGAGGTCATCCAGTCCCACGTCGAGAACGCGAGCCGCGCCGTCTTGCACGTCGGAAAGCTTCTGGAGCCGCGCCTGGTCAACGTCCAGGCGCTATTGTCGTTGGTCAGTCCGGAAGTCTCCCATGTCCCCTTCCCAGATCACCTTCGTCCGTCCTCAATCTCGAGCTCCCTCTAGCGCTCTACTTAGATAGGGATCTTACTGACACGGGAGGGTGCTTCCTTGTCGAAAATCCAGTGCGCCGTGGCCCAGGTTTGCCTCTCGGAAGAGGTATTCAGCCTCGTTTTAACCCTGGCGAACCAGGTCGCCAAGTCAATGGGGCTGCACCAGCCCCAGGGCTGGAGCTCCAGTATGAGCCCGGAAGAGTCCGAGGAGAGACGCAACGTACTCTACTGCCTCTACTGCCTCGACAAGACCGTGTCTTGGAACCACGGGTGTGCGCCGAGCGTGGGCAGCACTGCCGGGCTCCTCGCCGGACTCACGGTCTCGCGCCCGGGGCCGAGGCTGGGGCCGCCCGAACAGCCCGGCGGCGACGGCGACGGCAGCGGGGGCGGTAGCGGCGCCCTCTACATGAGCGCCAGGTTCGCCCTGGCGCAGATCGACGATAACCTCTACGCAAGCCTGTATGGACCCGAGGCGGCCGCCGCGCCGCAGGGATTCGAGGGCCAGTTCAGAAAGATCAGCCTCGAGGGCTTCGAGGCCCGGCTCGGGCACTGGAGAAAGGTGTACGAGCTCGAAAACGTCGACGGCGGCGGCGGAGGCCAAACGGACGAGGAGGGCGACGGCGGCGGCGGCGGCAGGATGTCGTACGCCTCCAGATTGGAGCTAAAGGCCGCCTGCAGGTTTACGCGCATGCAGCTGCTCTCGCGCTTCGTCGACGACCCCGGAGTCTGCTCCGCGCTGCTCGAAGACGCGCGCGGCTGCTTGGTCTCGCTGCAACAGCTGTGGGCCGCCACGTCCGACCCGGGCCACTGCTCCAGGTTCGCCCGGTACGTCCAGTCCCATCGCCGCACCGCCCCGAGCCGTGCCGAGTGCTAAATCAGATCTCGCAGGCTCGTTTCGTCGTTTCCCCCGATGGTGGTCTGCCGGCTGGCCTTCCAGGCCGCAACCTCGGAGGGCCCGGCGAGCGGTCGCGATGCCGAGCTCCTGGGCTTTTTGGCCAGGTCGCTGCAGACGATGACGTCCATGTTTGCGGTCGCGGACTCGTACACCTCGAAGCTCTCTGCCTTTGTTGACATCATGCTGCGTTTTGTCCACGACAGCCATCAGCAAGACAGGGAGGAGCAGCACCAGCGGCAAAACTCCGTTTCCTCCCGTCATCAGCAGTACAGCCCGGCCTCGAGCCAGCAGCAGGAACAAAAAGTAAAGACGGCTCACCAAACAAACACGCCGGCTCACAGCTTCCGTATGACCTACGATAGCTCATCTTCCTCCTCCACAAAGCAATCTTCAGAGGCTTGCGAGCCGCTGCAGGCGAGAGGCGGCGATGCGATAGCCGCCGCTTCACCGGGACCCGTCCTAGAACATGTTACAAATGCAAACTGTGTGAATATCGAAATCGACAAGGGGCTGGCGACGGGCCTGGCAGGCCTGTTTGCCGGCGGTCGCTACGATGAGGCTCAAGAGAGGTATGTAAATGGAGGAGACCTCGAGCCGTTGATGGACTTCTGGTCTCACCAGCAAAAGTTTTCCGATTCCATGGTGTTTGGGGAATTGGACAGCTCAGACATGCAGGCCGAGCACAACACATGGCAATAAGACATGGTCACCAGGACAGGGCGCGACTTGGAATACGGCTGCACGAAAATGGAACCTCACCATGCTAAATAGAGGAAATGAATTATGGCATAGACAGGTCGGTTATGTACTTGCCTTTTTCAGGGAAACGAAGGAACACAGAACTTTACCAGCAAACTTATCAAGATCCTCCAGTACAGTCATGCAGCAAAAGTCTGCAGACACCATCAAAAATCCCACCAAACCACACCAAAAAGCACTATTTTCAAATAGTATTTGTTGTATTTATACGCTGTTATGTCTATGGAAGAGACCTCAGTGCTGCGGCTAAGTACATGCAAATGGGGGAAAACCTTTGGGTTGGGCCTAAGGAGGAAAAACCCTATGCCTGCGTTTCCGCCTCTCTAGCGGTGCGCCTCCGTGGCGGTGTTGAACCGCTTTGGCTAACGCCTACTTTTTTCCACGCTCGACTGCTCGTAAGGGCTCCACCCGGGAATCAACCGTCCTCCCGCGTGCAGCCCCCTTTGCAGGGGGCCGACAAGGCCGCGTCCTGCTTGCCTGTGGTTGGTTGGTTGGTTCGTTGTTCGATTTGCCAGGCTGGCCCCTTTGCCGGGGGGGCCACGAATCGGGTCCACTTCGGTTGAGGGGGTCCTCTGCCGGTTTTTTTGCCTAGGCTTGTCCAAGGCGCTTAGGGGGCCCTCCCACGCACCTAACCTGGTCCCTTTAGCACCCGGCCCTTTTCCTTCCCGCTACCGTCCTGTTGGCCTGGCCTTCTGCGTCTTGGGCTACTTGGGGCGGTAAGGTTGGGATTGGGGCTAGGGGCTGCAGGGGGGCTAGGGCTTGTGGCTGATATTTGAAAGAGAAAGGGATGGTAATCGAATTCGTCGGTTTGTGCGTGCGCTCGTTGGGGTAGGGTTGGGCCCTCCCAGGGGCCCTCCCGTTACCTCTTCTTTGGCCTAGCCTTCTGCATCTTGGGCCTCCGAAGTGGTGCGAAAGGGGCTGGGAGGGGTCGGGTTGGAGGGGTCGGAATCGGATCAATTGTCGGAACTGTTGATTGATTGTGCGTGGGTGAAAATCAACTCGGGCGAAGCCCGTTAGCGGGGCGGCCCCTTTCTTTTTCCGGCCCAGCAGGGCGGGCGGCTAAAGAACAAAAAGTCCTTTGTGGTTTCGACGGGATTCGAACCCGTGGTCCTGGCGGGACCGGCCTGGTGCAGAGCCACTGCACCACGAGGCCCAAATAGTATTTAAAAATCCAAATAAATTCGTAGTAAAAAGCTAAAAATTCCAACTTATTAAAAAATGGGCAATAAACCTATTCACGAATTTGAATTTTTGGTAATTAATTTTATTATTACGGAATTTGCGATTAAAACTTAATGCATATTTGTTTTTATGTTTTAGTGACTTATAGCGGCTTATAGCGGGTGCTTCAGCGGGGTAATATTTTTAATTTTTAATATAATGATTTCAATATGTAACAACTTAACCAGCATTACGTATTTTAAAAATCCAAATTGTAAAAAATGAAGCTTTTATTTAAAATAATACACCTACAATTTATTGGATTTTTTTTTCTATTTTATTTCAACTTTTATGGCCTAGTTAAAGTGGGGGAGTGTTATATCACCCCGTACGTATTGCTATTTAACCCCGTATTCATCCGTGCACACGTGCGAGCATCGCCGCATACCGTCCCATAGGCCAAATTGAATGTACCCAAATGGCAAGCGATGTTTTCCCATATTAATTACGTTAATTTATAAAGTTACTAGTTTAATTCCCCGTATTGCACGGTCGTTGGTACGGCCGTTCCTTTTTGCACCGGTTGATAGGCAGATCCAGGCACAGATCCGGCCTGGCCCGACCCATTAAAAGCCCGTTTTCCTTATTAAGGCCCAACCCCCAATTTTTTTCCTTCCGCCTTTTTGATTTTTGCAACAACGTTAACCCTTAATACCAAAAAAACCGGCGATTTTTATTAATCCGGCCTTATTCCGATCGATAATGCTTTTTACCGCTATTTGGCCTTCGCGCGATAAAGCTTTCGATGCTTTAAAAGCGCGCGCGCACGCGAAGGGCTATAGCTTAATGCTAAAGGACAATTACCGGGACAAAGCCTTTAACGAAATTACCCGCACCCGATTGCAATGCGTTAAAACGGGCACCCTTAACCTAACCGCTTTCGTTAAGCACACGTACGAAGCAAAAAAACGTAAAACAAGCACGAAAAAAACGAATTGTGCTTAGCAAACGGTTTTCCGGCGCACGGCCAACGGTTGGATCGAAATCCGGCTTACCGACGTTAAACACAACCACCCTTTCGCCGACGACCCTGCCGCCTTTTCGAGCTTTAAGCGGAAGTTCTTGCAAGTTTGGGAAGGACGGATTCTCGCTTTTTAAAGGGCCAGTTTCCGTCCGGCAGCGATTATAGCGAGCTTTAAGGCAAAAAAAAAGGATGGGGGTTTTAGGGTTAATTTCCGGAAAAGGGACTTATATAATTATTTGCAAACCCAACGAAGGTGCAAATTGGCCGGGCGCACGCCAATTTAATAGCTTTTCAATATAATCCCCCGGCATGCCATACCCCTTATTAATTGATAGCGCTAATTTGGCCTTATGCTTTATTTTTTTTTAGCAATTAAATGGCTTAACGGAAATTTACCATTAAAATTGGCGCAACGAAGCCGGCCGCATTAAACGATTATTTTTTGCATCCCTTTTCGCTTTAAAACTATTCGCAATAGCGCCCGACGTTGTTGCATTCGATTGCACGTATAAAACCAACAAATTTAACTTTCCCATGCTTAATATATGCGGTATTTTATTTATACGGAAAAGCTTTTCTTTCGCTACCGTATTTGTAAATAACGAAAAGGAGGATTCCTTTTTATAAGCAATCGACGCTTTAAGCATTTACTTAAAGGCTTAAAGCTACCCAATGCCAAAGCTTGTTATTACGGATCGAAATTTAGCCTTAATTAAAGCTATTAATACCGATGCAAGGCTGTACGCGGTGCCTAAGCTCCTTTGCAAATGGTACGTTAATATAAACGTGCTTGCCAAAACCAAGCCCTTTTTCCCCCGCGCACAAAAAAAGCCTGGCCCCGGCGGTTATTGGGTACGGCACAAATCCTTTTAAGCCTTCCTTTAAGCTTGGAACGACCTTTTCGCTTCCCTTACGGATCGTATATACGAAAAAAGGCTCCAAACCTTTAAAGGCCTCGAAAAAAAGGCTGTTGCTTACGCATGCAGCACGTAGCTAACCCTTTTTAAAAAGGCTATTGTCGCTTGTTAGGTAAACCGATACAGGCATTTTGGGGTTCGCACCATTTCGATCGTTAAATCCTTGCATGCAAGGATAAAGCTTTTTATTAACAAGTTAAGCGGCGACCTCGCTACCGTTTTTAAATGCTTGCGGCTATATTGAAAGGCCCAATACGACGATTTTTTTGCTTTACGGGCTGCAAATATGGATAAAGTGCTTTACGGCTTTACTACGGCAATTTGGCAAGGCGTGCGTGCCAAGGTTGTGCCGCAAGCGTTGTTAACGATAAAGCGGTTAATCCGGGGCTTACAAACGGAGGAGGCACCTAACGAAGCCGGCAGCAACTTTCCCGCCCTCCCTTCCCTTGCCTTTCCTTGTGCTTGCACAATTACAACAACGTACGGGCTGCTTTGCGGGCACGTTATTTTGGCCTTGCAAGCCGCCAACGAGGGCCTAAAAATAAAGCATTTCGATCCCTATTGGCATTGGATCCGCGTCGACGAAAAGGCTTAAAAAGCCAAGGCCGGCCCCCTTAGGTTATTTGCCCGCCCGGGCCCTTTCGATCCCTTGCTTATCCGATTAAAAGGCCGGCCTAAAAGTGCTTTAAACCACGCCTTAGCATTAACAAGGCGGAACCCTTCCCTTTTCGAAGCAACGGCGGCTTAAAAAGCCCGAAATGCATTGCCGCCGCCCTTTTCGGCCCTTACCAAATTACAAAGCAGGGGCCGGCCTTAAGGCCGTAGCTTTAGGAAAGGCAAAGGCCAAGGCCGTAGGCGAGGAAAAAGTGCCAAAGGGTTACGGGCTTTAACCCTTACCGGGTTAGGGTTTAAAACCTTTGTAGCTAATTTGGGAGGTAAGCCTTCGGCCTTTAACCTATTTACCGACGATTCCGATTTTTCCCTTTCCTCCCTTTTTTCGCACAAGTTTTGGGACCCCTAGTTTTAATCCCACCCGGGTAACCTTTACGAGCCCGGCACCGTTGCACCCCAAAGGTTTGCCCGCTTTTTGCAGCGCTTAAAGTACGCTAAAAAGCCCTTCGAAACCGCTAAAGGGATTTCGCAACCTACCTTTATTCCGGATATAAAAAACGTTTTGCAGCGATTCGAACTTATAACCTTGCTTCGCAACGACTTCGCCGATATTCCGGTTACAAAGGATTCCGGATTTTATAACCGTTTGGTACAATATACGCAAGCAAAGTTACAAAAATCGGCCAAGTCGGTATTGTTATGCATCGTTGTTGCAAATTAGCCCGTTATTAATATTATTGCGAATAGCTTTACTTTTTTGTTGTTGCTACCAATTCCCGGCATTACCGCTTCTTTTCTTTTTGCCTGCCCCCGCTTCCCCCACGGGGATTTAATTTCAGTGCTTCCCGCACGTTACTAACAAACACAATCACGTTATTGACAGGCATTGATCGACCAGGAAAAGCACGGATCCCCGCCCAAACTAGTCGAGGTACTTTGACAGTCTGTGTTGCACGGTGACTCCGCTATTTTGGGGTCAAATAGCAATACGTACGGGGTGATATAACACTCCCCTTAAAGTGGCGTGTTTTGGTGGGGGTATGCGGAGTGTCGGCACACTTTTGCTGCATAACTGTAAGGACTTACGGGAGGCATCGCATCGGCATCTTTTGCCTGAGCACATGAGAATTCTCGTGTGATATAGGACATCCTGGAAAATAAATCTCTACATTTGTTAATCTTTGCGCTACATCCACAGTCCCAGCGCATGGGTCCCGTAAATGCCCAAGAATGACCTGTTGACACCGACCCCCAAGCATTTGAGGTGGTGTGAGGCACCCCTATGAAGTTGGATGGGGGTATTGTTTCCTTGGTTACTTGGGTCGTCAGCGACCATGCACATAGTATGTAAAATCTGCGTAATCAGTCGCAATAACAGCAACGAGTTCAGTTTCTAATGTATGCTCGCGGAGAGTTAAAGAACTTTCAAGGACGCATGCGTCTATTCAAGATAGACACAGCTCTATCAAACATAACCCCTGGGGACGACAGGTTTAAAAACGGATTACGCCCTCTCCAGCTACTACTTCACGCGTGACCGTTCGTGCCGTTGGTTCCGGCGGTGTCGGCGACGAAGGCGAACACGGTGCGGGCGCCCTTGGGGAGCTGGCCGGCGTTGCCACTCTTCTTAATGTCCAGCATCTCCTGTGCCCACTCGCAGATTGCGTTCGCGACGCCCGCGACCTCCTCCTCCGTGTTGGTGGCCTTGAACACGAGCCGCACGCGGCTGGCGCCCTTGGGCACCACGGGCGGGTCGATGGGGAAGGCGAAGTAGTTTTGAAGCTGCAGGTGCAGCGACAGGAAGTAGTTGTGGCGCGCCTCGGTCAAGACGGGCACGATCTGCGTCTGGAACGGCTGCGCCTCCCAGTCGTCAGCCAGCGGCACGCGGAGCACGCCGGCCTCGTTGGCGGGCCGCCACGCCGGGTGGCCGGTGATGGTGCGAAAGAAGAGCTTGAGGAGGTCCTGCAGGCGCTGCTGGGCCGGCCCCGTCTTGCCGCTCTTCAGGAGGTCGTAGCCGGAGCGGATGGCCGCGAGCGTCGGGAAGGACGGCGCCGCGGTGAAGAAGAGCGGCCGCGCGTGGTTGACCATCATGCTGCGGACCGTCTTGTTCGACAAGATGACGGCTACGTTGTCGTTTGTCAGTTGCAGGCTAATCAAATGGGGAAGCGGCGATGACGATGCTTACCGCCCGAGCAAGCCAGCGCTTTGGAAAAGGTGTGCAGCCGGATGGCGATGTCGTCTTGCAGCCCGAGCATGCCGACGAGGCCGACGCCCTTGTCGCCGACGATGCCTGTGCTGTGGGCCTCGTCGACGATGAACTGGGCGTTGCCCTTTGGGAAGAGCTCCTTGACAACATCGACCAGCTCGGTGAGGGGGCACACGTCGCCGTCCATGCTGTAAATCGTCTCGACGGCGATGATGATGCAGCGCTGGCCGCGCTCGATCAGAGGCTGCGAGTCGCGGACGGTCTCAAGGGTGTCACGGAACGAGTCCACATCGTTGTGGCGGAATGAGGCCCGGCAGAGAGCGCTGCTACGCGCCATGCCCTCGTGGACGCTGGCGTGGACGAGCTCGTCGTAGACGATGGCGTCGCCGGGCCGGGGGATGGTCGAAAAGATGGCGCAGTTGCCCTCGAAGCCCGAGTTGACAACCAGGGCCGACTCGGCGCCGTGGAAGGCGGCGATCTCGCGCTCGATGAGCTCGATGTATTCGTTGTTGCCGTCGAGCAGGCGGGAGCCGGTGCTGCCGAGCTTGAAGCCCGGGTGGCGCGCCAGCTCCTCGAAGAAGGCGGTCCGCAGCATGCCGCTCGCGGCCAGGGAGATGAAGTCGTTGGACGAGAGGTCGACCTGGTTCTGCCGCTTGCGGAGCGTGATGAGGCTGTGCTCCGTCCGCCGCAGGTCGAGCGTCTCCTCGAGGTTGCGCTGGAAGATGGGCGCGTCCTTCATGCGCGGGCCCTGGAGCTCCTGCGCCTGGACCCATTCGGCCAGGTGAGGGAGTGTGGTGGCCATTCTTGCAAAGGCTTTGGGGCTACTGGAAAACGGGTACAAACAGCCTGTAACTGACGGAAGAAGAGAAGATACGGGGATTCCAGCTTGGTTCCGATATCCCACAATGGAGCACAAGAATAGTACCAAAGCGGATCATGGGACATTTATCAATGCTGGGGAACCCGTCCCCATCACGAGGCACGAACAGCTTAGGCAAAGTACTAACTAATCGCACAGCATAGCCCGTCAGCCACAAAACACACGTACGTTTCGGTCAGCATCTGCCGAGCTCGTTTCTGCGAGGGCTGACAGCGCCGCCGGCAGGACCTGCAGCTGGTTGGGGGTTAGACCGGGATCCGGTTCGGGCGGCGGGATCCGTTGTGGGTGCCGAACTCGGGAGGAATACCTTAGTGTAAGCTTTTAGCCCGAGATAAAAGTCCGACGTAGCATTCTATCTTACCGACCAGGCCGCCATACCGCCTTGGCAGGAACGCCAGAAAGTGCTTGGCTACTGTCACATGTGAGGAGCCTGAAATAGGATCGCAGCGGAGGAATTCTCGCGCGATGCAGAAGAAGAGTAATAGGAAAAGTTCAGATTCGAGTAGGAGCCGGTTGAAAAAGCATGCTCCGGACTTGGCCGTGGTCCATACGGGCTGCTCGTCGCAGATTCTACCCCACACTTTCTTAGTGATCCGGTTGCAGACGTCGAGTGAGGGTTGAAGTTCGTGCTCTAGGACACCACAGATCTAGTAATATGATGAAAAGTGGAAAGTGGTACCAAATATGGGCATGTAATGTATCTAAAAGTATTTTCTCCAGATTCACATCACTTATTTGAGCGCCAGCTGCGCGTCGTGATTTTTACATATCCCAGAAATTCGCCGACTTGCTCCGGCGGGTTGTTCTTCCCCTAAGTTCTCCCATTGCCATAGAAAAAGGGAAGAGAGCAGGCACCATACAAACGTTACTACATAAGCTCAATGCCCAGCATTCCATCAACGCCAAGCCCGTATCACGCACATTGACTCGGGCGACACTCATTCGACATGTTCCGTCTTGGCGACCTTTCCGACCTCACGGAATTCGGCAAACTGAGGCGTGACGTTCAAAGACTTTGGCCCCTTGTAAATGGTCCCCATCGCGCGGTCCCAGAACGTGAACCAGAGCGCGTAGTTTGACTGAAACCAGAACCATTGTCAGCATAGAAAGGCCCACACGAGGAAGATGTGAACTGACCTTGATTCCCCACGATTGATGGTGGACCGTGTGGTAGACAATATCGCTGCCCGTCATGCCCCCAAAGAGGATGATGGGGTCCCAGGGGAAGCGGTAGCCGGAATGGTCGTCGAGCGTCTTGAGCACGCTGAGCGTAAACACGGCCACGCGCTCCCGTGCGGTGAGACCGACGATCAGGCACGTCACGAAGGGGCCGAGGGCGTCGAGGAGGAAGCTCTCAAACGGGTGTACGTAGGTCGCCGCGTACGACCACGGGGCGTTCAGGAGATGATGCCACAGGTGTATTCTCTCTAAGGTCACAGGTGGCCGAGTTAGATTTTTACCACATACTCCACGGGAGGAGTTAAACGTTAAGCCAAGGAAGAGTAGCGAGACAGTGGCCACCGACTGTATGCCCATCTCATGTGCAACGCGAGATGCACCCAGAACTGCCATGTGTCGTACACAAACAGGGCCGCAAAGATGCGCGCCACAGTGACGGCGGAGTAGGCGAGCCAGGTCAGAGCTGGCGACTGGACGATGGCCTTGGTGTCCTCGATGCTCCTTATGGCCTCCTGGGTGATGCCGAACGGGTCCGCGGGCCTCTGGTCGTTGAGGCCGGGCTCGAGCGCGAGACCGATCCAGCCGACGACGATGATTATGGCCTGGTTCACCAACACGCCGCGCACCACCTCGAGCTTTGTCACCTTGTTCTTGGAGAACTCGTCGGGCTGCAGCAGCCGGTACCTCTGGAAGAGCCCAAAGGCGTCGAAGGTCTCGTAAACGAGCGCCACCACCCAGTGCACGGTGAGCGGGACCACGATAGATAGCTCCGCCGGGCCCCACGCCCGCGGATTCGCGCTGGGGAGGTTATGATAGAGGCCTTGCAGGCTTTCCATCGTTTTTTTGAGTTGTTCAAGCAGGGGTTTTGGGGGTAGGGTCTCCTGCGAAAAGAGACGAAGAATGGGATGCTGGGTGTTCAGGAATTGTTTTGGGCGGAGACCAATAGAAAAGGAAGGAGCAAAACACTCATAGCATCAAGACTTGGAAAAGACGGCCAAATATGTCTCTGCTTACACTTGATATCATCCACTTCTCGGGGCCCGGCCTATTTCTCCAGGCCTAGTCAGATCCGGATCGTAACACCCCACGGCCGGTCCACGGGGATAATTGTCTACAAATTCCCTCGTCGAACGATAATAATGCATTCCGCTTGTCTTATCTCCTGACCTCGCTTCCAATAGTGTTTTGTTGGGCTGTCAAGCTACAGTCCTCGCGAGGGTGTGTAAGACGGACTCCGGATTCCGGCAGCCGGGCGCGGTGTCTGGGGTTAGGGATAGCCCCTACCCTGTTTTGTGCGTGAGATCCCACCCTTGGCCAGAGCGGGAATAAGCCAACTGCGTTACACTAACACCGGTCCGCGACCAGTAGTCTACGGGCTTCGGAGGGGGCGGGGTACGTGTCTTTGAACATTGCCACCAGGTTCCAGTACTGCTGGCACGACTTGTCGGATCTCTAATATTGGTCCACCTTCGCGAGCCATAGATAACAACAGGTGTGTACATCCACCCGCCCTCTCGTGGGACTTTAAGCAGCAGCTTACCTTGTTCGTGTGAAACTCCGCTTCCTTGGCTTGGTCGCGCCGTGTTCCTTTCCCTCTTCTCCATCTTCACATCGCTTCCCACCATGGCACGTAACCAAACCGCATTCGACTACGAGGCCTTCCTCACGCCCCCAAAACATGGGCTTGAGCTTTCCCAGTCGCCGGGCACCATCCTAGGCATGGACGACGCGCGCGCCTCCGTCATCGTCCCGCTGCTGGCCTACTGGGCCGTGTCCATTTTCTACGAGACGGCGCACTACATCGGCTGTTTCGACAAGTACCGCGTCTACCCGACGGGCGAGGAGAAGCGGCGCAACCTCGTCTCGCGCCGCGAGACGCTGCGCGTCGTGCTCATCATGCACGCCGTCCAGGTCGTGTTCGGGCTCGTCATGGCTAGCATCCTCGAGCCGGCCGACGGCGGGGCGGCGGCGGCGGCGGCGAGGCTCGCGTGGGGCCGGCCCGGCAGCGCCGAGTTCTTCGGGCTGGAGATCAAGAGGCGCCTCCCACGCGCGGCCTCCGCCCTGGGCTCGGAGGCGCTGTGGGCGGTCTCCCACGGCCTCGTGTGGGCTTGGCTGGGCCTCCGCCAGCTCGCGGCCTTCTTCGTGTTCGACACTTGGGCGTACTGGGTGCACTACTTTGAGCATGTGATCCCGTTCCTCTATCGTAGGTCGGCCCTGGAGCCCTGGGCGGCGCCCCGATTAGTAAGGCCTCTTGACTGATCTGCCTCCCTGCAGGTCGCATTCACTCGGTCCACCACTACAATTACATTCCCTACAGCTACGCCGCGTCCTACAACCACCCAATTGAGGGATTCTTTAACGACATTCTCGGCTCCTACCTGTCGAGTAGCTTCGTAGGCCTCAGCGACCGCGAGGCCATGGTGTTCTTTGCTACGGCGAGCGTCAAGGCCGTCGATGACCACGCTAGCTTGGAGCTGCCGTGGAACCCTATCAACCTTTGGGGCTGGATCTTTGGCAACGGCATGGTCCACCACAACATCCACCACCAAGTCTGGGGTCTCAAGGTAAGAAATGGCTGTCTTGTTATTCTGGGTTCTTCGGAGCATAAAAAACATGCGTGATACATGAGGCTGACACGCCTCGGTTGTGATGTCACTCTCACAGACCAACTATGGCCTCTACTTTACCTTCTGGGACAGGGTGAACAACACCATCTACAAAGGCAGCAGGCGGCTCTCTGAGGCAAAGGAGAAGCGGGCGGCACAACATTCGGAGGAGTCGGAAAAGAAGGAAAACTAGGTAATGACGATGAAATATGAAAAGGTGTCGTAGTGGCACGGGTTTAGACGGATGCGGGGCATTATCTATGTATGTCGGCCATGGAACACGAGGCTTCAAGTTGAATCTCGCATCCTCGATACTGTCATTCAGAAGCGCCGTTGATGGGCGCAGATACTCTTCTGCGAATGCTGAAGAGCATAAAACGCAGTTACTAGTGTTGACTAATTTTACGAATCACTCCCTTGCAAGCCTGTACGAAATTACAACCTAACCTCTCGCCAAAGATGCTGGATCTTACCGGAAGGCTGGGGAAAGGGACCTCGGCTAGCGGATGGGATAAAGTTTACACTAGGAACTATGAAAGTCACACGAGATGAAGCCCAGCTCAGAAACCCTGCCTATTCCTTATCGTAGCAGCAAAGTCCAGCAGGTTGCCTACTCAAACCAGCCACTGCTCAAAACCCGCCAACCGCCCAAATCAACCATCCACCTCGAAGCTCTCGGCCTCGCACAGCCTCTTATAAAGGCCGCCCAGGGCAACGAGCTCGTCGTGCCTGCCCTGCTCCGCCACCCTGCCGCCGCTAAAAACGTAGATGCGGTCGGCATCCTTGATGGTGCTCAGGCGGTGCGCGACGGCCACCGTGATTCTGCCGGGCCCCGAGGCGCGCGCCCCGCCGCCGCGGCCCAGGGCGCCCTGCACCGCCCTCTCCGAGGCCGTATCCAGCGCCGACGTGGCCTCGTCGAGGAGCAGCAGCCGCGGGTTCCGTATCAGCGCGCGCGCGATGGCGACGCGCTGCCGCTGCCCGCCCGATAGGTGCGACCCGTTGACGCCGCAGGGCGTGCCGGCGCCCTGCGGCAGCGACGCCACAAAGTCCCACGCGTTGGCCGCCCGGAGCGCGGCCTCGAGCCGAGCCTCGCCGTCCCCGGCTGCCGCCGCCGCCTCCTCCTCCTCAGGGGCCAGGCCCAGCATGACGTTGTCGCGTATGCTGCCCGGGTACAGCGTCGCCTCCTGCTGCACGAGCGCGGCGCCCGCTCGGTAGGCCTCGGGGTTGACGGCGGCCAGGTCCTGGCCGTCGACGCGGACGGTACCCGAGCCCGGGTCGTAGAAACGCTCCAGCAGCGCCACGGCCGTGCTCTTGCCGCACCCGGACGGCCCCACCAGGGCCACGAACTCGCCCGACGAGGCCGTAATGTCGGCGCCGCGGAGCACGCGCGCGTCCGGCCGGGCCGGGTAGCTGAAGGCCACGTCGTCGAGCTGGACGCAGTCCAGGCCGCGGGCCGGCACGACCGATTTGTTCTGGGGCGTCTCCTCCACCGTCCGCTTCAGTGACCTCACCCACAGGTAGTAGTCGGCTGCGGCCTTGCCTTGCGTGATGCCTGGTGTAAAGAATGGGCGTATAAGTAGGGAGCGAGCGTCTGTGTCTGTCACCGATGGGGCGAAACTTACTGCTCGTGTACGTGAACATGGTGCCGGCGTTTTGTCCGGCGTAAAAAATGCCCATAAAGGATACGAAAAATTGGTACAGCGATATCTCGTCGTCCCTTAGCAGCGTGCACCCCCACCAAAAACCCAAGGCGAGCACAAAGTACTCCACGGCCTGTGTGAAGGAGAACCACAGCATGGCGTGCAGCAGGGGCCGGACAGACGCCTTGGTCACGGCGTTGAGCTCGTCGGTGTACCTCTGCAAAACTACGCGTTCGATGGCGAGGCTGGACACGGTCCGGATAGCGAGGATGGACTCGGAGGCGATGGCCGCGCTGGCCGAAAAGCGTCTCTCGTTGTCCCCATCCATTTTGAGCTGCAGACGGATCCGCGCAAGCCCGGCAGCGAGCAAAGGGGAAAGCCCGGCGAACACCCCGACCATCCCGAGCTTCCACGACGTGGCTATCGAGAGGCAACTGCAGGCTAATATCGTCAATATGGTCAGGAGGATAAGAACGATGTTGATGCTCATGAGCTCTATCATGGCCTAGGGCGCGAGAGGTTTGTTTGGAATTAGCAATCGGAGGCACGGCCGGCGGATAATGCTTACAGGAGGTGGTGCAAAATATGAAGCCATCAAATATTCACTTACCTGAGCTGTCGAATCGATGCGGCTGGTCAGGGCGCCGACGTTGTTTTCTCGGAGATCAAAAAACGCGACGTCCTGCCTCAAGACGTTATTTAGGAGATTCCGCCGGAATTTGTGGTTCATCGCCTGAGCTGCTGAGTTGGCGATCCAGCCCGTCACAAAGTAGACGAGCATGGCTGCCAGGCCCATGACGAAGAACATGAGCGAATAGAAGTTTCCCTCGTCTGCCATCCGATCAGGCGGCATGCTGAAGACACCCATTATCTTCCCCATCAGAAGCGCTTGCCCAGGGAGTGCGGCGGCTGTGCACTTCCACGTCAGTCGAGCCGATCAGATGATGATGTGAGGGAGGCTGTTTGAAGAAGCCGAAGGAATACTCACATCCAATCAGGCATCCAATCAAGATGGCGATGAAGTACCATTTGAGCTCCGAACTCTCGCGGATGAGCTCCCAGACGCCTCCGAGGATGTTCCTGCGACTCGCCGTCCCAAAGTCGTATTGTGCTACGGCCGAGGTGCGTGCGGGTTGGGCATGTTGCTCCAAGTCCCGCTTCTCTCCCACCACGCCATGCCACACTTCTGCAGGCCCCTTCTCGGCAGCCGCCACCTCAGGCTCCACGGCGATGTCCTCCTGTATCCCCTGTATCTCCCCGTCTTCCGCCGTCAGCTTTTGGGCCCGCACCATGCGCGAATAGGCGCCGCCCGCAGCCATCAAGGCCTCGTGCGTGCCCTGCTCGACGATGGCGCCCTTCGATAGGACGACGATGTTGTCGGCGTTCCTGACGGTGGCCAGCTTGTGCGCGATCACTATGGTTGTCCTTTGTTTGGAAGCGTTCTCGAGGGCCTTTTGCACCACGCCTTCGGACCGCGGGTCGAGCGCGCTGGTGGCCTCGTCGAGGAGGAGGAGGCGCGGCTCCGAGACAATGCTGCGCGCGATTGCTATCCTTTGCTTCTGCCCCCCGGAGAGCTGACCCCCACGCTCCCCGATAAAAGTGTCGTAGCCGTCTGGGAGCTTCGTGGTGATGAAATCATGGGCGTACGCGAGCTCGGCGGCGCGCCTGATGCGCTCCCGCCGGTCGGCCAGGGGTGCACTCTCCCAGGGGGTACCGACAAGGCCGTGAGCTATGTTCTCGAAGACGGTTCCGTTGAAAAGAACGGGCTCCTGCTGCACCAGACGCACATGGGTTCGTAGCCAATTCGGGTTAAGGTTTTCGATGGGCGTTCCGTCCAACCTTATAACACCCGAATTGGGGTCGTACCATCTTTCGACAAGGCCAATTATGGTGCTCTTCCCGGAGCCGCTGGCGCCCTACATCATCATTTGTTAGGCCTGGGGGCGTCCAGCTTACGGTAGGGGCAACTGGCCGATTCTTTTCACTTACCACGAGGGCCGTCACCTTGCCGGCTGGGACACGCAGCGAGAACTTGTCCAGGACGGAGACCTCCGGCCGGGCTGGATAACTGAAGGTGATGTTCTCGATCTCGAGCTCGCCGCGGACGGATTCCTCCGCAGGCTTCAGGCCTTCCTCGCCAAACGGATCAATGTCGGACTTGCGGTCGATGAGGACGAAGAGCTGGGCAGCCGCCGTGGCAGCCTTCTGAAACGAAATCATGTACGGGGCAACAACAGTTACAGTCAAGCTGGCCGTCAGAACAGACATGATGACCCTTTGTTTCGTACGGGATGGTTGTCAGGAAACGCAGCTTCTCCTTCAGGGGGATGAAATAACACATACGTATAAACGGTGCCCACATCGTCAACCTCTCCGCGCGATATCATTTGAATACCTTGCCAATAGGCGAGCCCCATGGCAGAGTACACGATAAAATACTCGAGGCTAAAAAGGACTCCATAAAGGGGGCTCTTGCGCATGCCGATGGCCTTGGCCTTGTCGAGGTAGGCCACGAAGTGTGCCATGAGGCGGGGCCGCATGCCAAAGGCGTGGACGGTGCGGACGGTGACGAGGACGTTCTCGGCAAAGGAACCCGCCTGGGCGAAGACGTCGAGCTGCTTTATCTCGATCTTAGATTCGAGGGTGGCGCAGGTGCCGAGGAGGACGACCAGCGTCGGGGCGACCCCGATTAAAATTAGCGTTAGCTTCCACTGGGCGGCGAACGCGATGGCAAAAGCAGCAACGGCGGTCGCCGAGGCCTGGAAGCACACCATAAGCTTCTCCGCCACGCCCGACTGCACCAGGTTGCCGTTGGTGGTGGCGCGCACCGCCACGGACCCGGGCTCCCGGTCGAAGTAGGCGACGGGCTGGCGCAGGGCGGCGCGCAGGAAGTCGGCGCGCAGGCCGCGGACGGCGCGGTAGGCCGCGTGCGTCGAGGCGACGGTGTAGATGTAGACGCAGGCCCAGCGCGCGACGCCAACGTAGACGAGCTGCAGGCAAAGGCCCGACACTTGCGGGAGGAAGTCGCCGCGGCCCAGGCTGCCCGACACGAAGGCCAGGATCGCCCGGATCAGCTCGCCCATGACGAGGTTCACCAGCGCCAGGGCGACGCCCGAGCCAAACGCGGCCGCGACGGCGACGGCGTTGAGGGCCAGCTCGGCTCGGCTCAGGTAGGAGAAGACGCGCTGCGCGCGCTGTGTGTCAGCCTGGCGGCGGAAGTCTGGGATTGTGCGAGGAGCGGCTGTTTGCCCTCATTTACGTACCAGATACGCTCTCGTTGGCGACATGGTTGCTGGTTCCTGCCCGCAAGATGGCGTCGATGGGTCATTCCGGGGTTCTGGCTCTGGCCCTGGCTCGGCCGTCGTCGCCATCGTAGGTCGGGAGTCGCTCATCGCGGCCTGCTATCTGGGGCAAACGCAAGCGAATGAGTGCGATAAGTGCTTTTCTCTAGCTGCGAGGCTGTGATGCTGCTTCAGGTGGGTAATCCGACAAGGAGGAAATACATGGGCAATTGCTGATGAAGCTAGTGCTAGCAAGTCTGCAGGGCTACAGATACCTCGACCTAGAGGGTTTTTCTCCCGAAATTACCGGCATGGGAGTTTGCCAGAAGAGGACAGTAAGCTTGGAGGGTGCGTGAGCCTGGAAATTGCTCTTTGTTCCGCCAACAGGATTGCGTCTACTGCCAATAGCAAGGCGTCCGGAATCCGGGCTCTGGGCCCACTCCATGCTGACCGGAGTAGGTTACTTAGATAGTAGGTAGCTATACATATATGTTCCTATTGGCGCGGCCGCAGTACTCCGCAAGGTGCCAAGCTGAGACTACCTTAGCGAGCGCCCGACCTATGAGATGTAGCTACGAAGGCACTTGAGAGGCATTCGGTGGTCAGCCCAGGTACTTGATACCGTCTACCGTATCCACACCAACAGCTAGGAGATGAGACCGTAGCCTCGCGGTTTCTATTTCCAGACTTCTGCACCGATACACCCATTATTGTCACACCTTGGCTCCGCGCCCACTCCAAGCATTGTCATCAGATATTCATTCACTTTTCGGCAGACTCATCCTGCTTTTTCGCATTGGCAAGCGCCACGACGTCAACCCAGCCGGGCGGCGGGCGCTGCAGGTCCGCGCCGACCTCCTCGGCATCCAGCCCAAACCGCAGCAGGCTCTCCTCGGAGCACCACTCCCCCGTGCCCATCAGCCCGACGGGCACCTTCCCGGGCGTGTCCTCGCCCGCGACCTCGGCCTCCCCGTCGCCGGGCGCCGCGAAGCCGGCCGGGACGCTGATGCTGGGGACGCCGCACAGGTTCGCGAGCCAGACGTACTCCATCGACCGCATCGTCCTGTCGCCGTCGCTGACCCCGTACGCGAGCTCGCGCCCGCCGCCGCGGATCGGCCAGCCCGCGCACGCCGACGCCGGCGTCACCAGGACCATGCCCGGGTGCCGCCGCCAGAGCCAGGCGAGGTGCCGCATGAGCACGTGCCGCAGCCGCTGCGCGAGCTGGTAGTCCGACGCCGGCGTCGTGCGCCCGAGCGCCAGCAGGATCCGGTTCGCCGGCGACAGCCCCTTGGTGTCGCCGTCCCGCACCAGCGCCGCCGCGTCCGTCAGCAGCGTGAGCGCGTGCGCCGCCTGGCCCTCCTGCGTGAACGGGATCTCGACCGGCACGACGCGGTAGCCCTTGCGCTCCACCAGCCTGTCGACGAGGCTCGAGCACAGCTGCTGGACGACGGGGCTGGCCCGCGCGAACCACGCCTCGGGGACCCCGATGATCCTCGGGCGCGCCGCGTCGTCGGTTTCGAGGCTGCTCCGGCGCGGCGCGGTCGCGAGTCCGGGAAAGGAGAAGGGCGACGCGGGGTGCGGCCTGCTCATGGCGTCGTATAGGGCGATGAGGGATCGCATGTCGGCGGCCATGGGCCCGTTGACCGCGGCAGAGTTGCTGTGGTTTTGGCCCGGGAGAAAGGCCAGCCTGCCGTGGGTTGGCTTGAGCCCAAAGACGGAGTTGAAGGATGCGGGGATCCGGATGCTCCCACCCCCGTCGCTGCCCAGCGAGATGGGCAGGAGCCCCGCGGCGACGGCGTAGGCGGAGCCGGAAGAGCTTCCGCCCGGGTAGTACGACGGGTTATATGGGTTCCTCGGCGTTCCGTACGTGATGTTGTAGCCGGACGTGTCTGGAGCCCGCCGGTCAGCTTGCAAATGTCCGCGTGTGAAGAAGGCCAAGCGCGCACTACAGGCGGAGGGCACGACTCACCCATGCCGAATTCGTGCAAGGAGAGCTTGCCCAGAACGACTGCTCCCGCTCCCATCACCTGCCTCACACACCATGACGTCTTATCGCCGTCGTCGTCGCCCTCTTCCCGGGGCACGTGGAGGGCGGTATAGTCGTTTGGGGAGCCCAGTGTCGTCTTGTACCCTGCCATGTCGTATTCGTCCTTGACCGCCGTCGGGACTCCGTCGAGCGGGCCCAGCGACTTCTTTTCCTTGTACCTCTGCGTAGATGCGGCCGCCGCCGCAAGCACCGACTCGGCGTGGACCTCAAGCCATGCTACGGAGTGCTCGCCTGGTGGCGAGGCGTCGCGCCTGATGAGAGGCAGGATGGCTCGGGCTACATCGAGTGGTGTGAGCTCGCCTGAGAGATACAGTGTCCGGTAGAGTGCGACCGAGTTTTGTCCTCCCCCAGGCGGCGCCACATGGGAAGCAGACGGTTCATCGTCTTCGGGCTTCCGAGACGCGTGGTCCTTCTCTTGGATATCCCAGGCGACGGAGCCGTCTTCAAATGAATACACGGTAGGATCATAGCGGGGTTCGGTGAAGGCGATGTGGTCCCAGATTTGGCGCAAACACCCGAATCCGGCATTCTCCCACGCCTTTTTGCGGATAAAGCCAAACCGTTCCATGCTGTGATGCAAACATCAGCACTCTCCCCCAATGCGCCAAGACGTAATACGCCAGCGAGAGACATACAGAAAGGCTGCTGCCAGAAGCAGCCATCCATAGATTCGCGGATTCGGCCTTCTCGGCGGGCGAGGGGGACCTTCGGGCCTGGTCTGATTGTCAGCGTGGAACATCCTACTCGGTACATCGTATTGGCTCGACACATCTTACGCGCGCACGGGTTCCGGGTAGAGGAAGAGGCGGCGGCTGGGGCCCGGCGCAGCCATCATGGCTACCAATGAAGGGCGGATGCTGTCAGGCTGGGAGCTGTCAGGAGGCAAGAGGCAATATTGTGTGGCGGGGAGTCGGTTAGGGAGAAATCTGGATTTTCGATACTAATTCCCAGCTGCAAGGGAGATAAAACCGGTTTCCTCCAGCCGTTTGGTTTTTGTTTGCATGTTTCTTTTGGCTGCTGTGTTTATTGGATGCTGGTACTTGGCGCGGCTTACGCGGACCGAAGGACCTATCTGTGTAACACGGAGTCACGTGGGCTAGCCTGCAGTCAGCCCATCACAGGAGACCCAATCCGCCCGAGCGAAATTCCTTGCGGCGTAACCCTCCCCCTGTTGTTGTTTAGCGCTTTGTACGCGTGGCAGTCGGTCTGGGACCGGTGCCGGATCCCGGATCCCGGACCCCGGGCTCCGGTGCCCCCATGATCTCGGATGTCATGCGACTTGGAGACGAGCATAACAGCCCAAGCTTTTTCCCTGACTTTTTTTCTACTAGTCTTACTGGGTTTAGTGTCCTAGCAATTCCGATTCCGAGCAATCAAGAGGCACAGAAACATGTTAACCTCATCACGGTCGTCCGATATGGAACACCTTCGAGGCAGAGTACGCATGTTCCGTATCAGAAAAGCACCAATACCTTTTTGAACCTCATGTAAAATCCATTATGAATCCGTTCCGCTGAGCACACTGTGGATAAACAGCTAGTCTTCGTTGCCGGCGGCTCGACCGGACTTGGCAAGGCCATCGCCATAAGCTTGGCCGCCAGAGGTTAGCATACGGGAGTTCCCAATGCCACTGCAGAATAAAGGAGCCTTGTACGCTAATATTAATCTTGCCTCACTTTTCAGGAGCTGATGTCACCGTCTTCGCTCGGAGGCAGGAAGTGCTCGACGAGGCACGCGTCGAGATCGACAAGGCCACCATATTTCGCGACCAAGAGATCCGTACCGTGTCGCTGGACCTGTCAGATGCCTCGCAGGCGAGTCTCCCCGCCACATCAACTCTTCTCGTGTGGTGGTTTCTCTTCTGACAAACAACGCTGTAGTGCGAACGTGTCTTCGAGGCCCAGCCGCGGCTCCCCGACGATCTGTTCTGCGTCGCCGGCGGTTGCGTCCCCGAGCTGGGCTTCTTCGCCGACGTTCCCGCCACGGCTCTCGACAGCTGCATGAGAAAGAACTACTTCACCAGCGCGTACCCGGCCCACGCGCTGCTCCGGCTCTGGACGCGCGACGACCGCCGTCGGAACGCCCCTTCTTCTTCTTCTTCTCCTCCGGCCGCGGCGCAAGGGCAAGAGCCGAAGCCGAAGCCCAAGTTGCGGCGGCTCGCTTTCGTCAGCAGCGCTGCCGCCCTTGCCAATGTTCCTGGCTACATAGCATACACGCGTGAGCAGCATTCATCCTCTCTTCATGTCACTTTTCTCCATCTGCGTTTTTATACTCCCCGCCCGCTAAAAACCCTCCTCTATCGCAGCCGCGAAATGCGCGCAGCGCGCTCTGGCCGACACGCTACGGCAGGAGGCCGCTATTTACTCGAACGCGGCCTCCCGATACACGATACACTGCGCCTTCCCGGCCACGGTGCTCACGGACACCTTCTTCGAGGAGCAGAAGAACAAGCCGGCCGTCACGAAGCGGATGGAGTCGACCGACGGCGCCGAGGAAGAGCTGCGCGCCAAGTACCCGTCGGCCCATGACGTGGCCGAGGCCATTGTGCGCGCGACCGCGGATCGCCCGGGGGGCGGCGACTTCTGCGTCTGCACCGACTTCATCACCTCGGTCCTGTGGAGCGGCATGACGGGCCCCAGCCCCAAGAGGGGCTGGGGCATCTTGGACTCCCTCCTGGGCTTCATCTCGGTCCTTTTCGTCTGGCCCATCTTGAGGTTGTCGTGGGACTCTACATGTGCCGAGGCCGGTAGGTCTAGAGATAAAGAGGAGGGTTCGAGTGGGAATTCCAGAGTTTAGATAGGTAATCTTATCCAAGCTGTTTATGTTGCGTGCTGAGCACCAGAAGGATCCCCATGCAGGAATCTCACAACTTCGGGTCAATTAGCTGCCTCGGTCCTATCGCGGGTCATCACATGGCTCCTTCCGCCTGAGAAGTGCACCCAGATGAGGCAGTGGACTGCGGACAAATAATCATCCTTGACAGTCTGTGACTGGAATATTGTCAGGTTTTGCCCCCTTATTTTGCATGTACCCGGGCATCTCCCTCTCATCGCTGGCTCATACTTGGTGTATCCGCAGACGGGGGCGCCCAATTGTACCACTCGGCATCGGCTGTTAGCAAATGGGCGATGTTTTTGTGCCGTGTCCTCATGTCGTGTCTGCTCTTTTCGAGGGAGTCCGGCAGTTGGGGCGCGTTCGTCGGCCCCGGGCCCGCATGCTGCTGCCCACCTGTGCCGGCTGTCGGGGTCGCGCCCGCTTATCTATCCCGGGGCCGATCAGCCGGCCCCTGGAGCCATGTCGACGCGCTGCTAAGAGCAGGATTGTGCGCTTGTCGACGCGGACCGGGACGACGCGCGATTTCGGAGGATGCGGCAAGTCTGAGAAAGCAGTTAAATAGACTAGACTACCTCTAACCTAGCAAAAAAAGGAAGAACGCCTGAAACTCCGGTCCGCCCACCCGAGGTACCTACCTAGGTAAGTTCCATGATACCCAACTCCAGCGCTTGCTAGATGCTAAAAAAAAAAAATGAATGAAACCAAACAAACACTGACAAAACAAGGGAGGGTAGGATATGATAGGGAAAGACTCAAGGGGAAAGCTCCCTAACCCACCTGCATGCCAGCCTTAGTAAGCCTCGTCAAAGTTGCCGGCGGCAGTGTCAACGGTGACCTCGGCAGAGGCGCTGGCGGAGGCGCCTACAAGGGCGGGGGCACCACCAGCGCCGGCGGCGGCCTTCTGCTGGGCCTGCTTGAGCTTTTCCTCGGCTTGCAGGACGAGGTCAATGTTGCGGTTCTGGGAGGCGATGGCCTGCTCGAGGTCGCGGCGGTAGAGGGTGGCGGCGATGGCGTTCTGCTGCTGGACGGCGGCGAGCTGCTGCTTGCGGGCGTTCTGGTACGCCAGCACCATGGGGTCCTGCGACTTCTGCTGGTTCTCGGGCGGCGCGGCCGGGTAGTTGTTGTAGATCTGCACGTTGGACGACCCGCCCGCCGCGCTGACGTTGTTCTTGTTGTCGTTGTTGGTCGTCTGCCCCGCGTTGTTGCCCCCCGACACGTTGGCGTCGGCCGCCGCGTGCCCGCCGCCCGCGTTGTTCCGGCTGCTGTTGTCGCTTTGCTGCTGCTGCTGCGTCTTTTGGGACGAGTTCTGCTTGTTGCCGCCCTTATTCTTCTTGTCGTCCTTCTTCTTGTCGTCCTTCTTCTTGCTGTCGCGGCGGCCGACACGGCCCTTGGCCTTCATCTTGGTCTTCATGGCGTCCTGCTTCTGCTTCATCTTCTGCTTCTGGCTGTTGTTCTGGGTCTGGCCCGAGTTGTTGCCGCCCGAGACGTCGTTGGTGATCATGTTGTCGCCCGTCTGCACCTGGTTCTGGCTGTGGTTATCGCTCTGCTGGTTGGTGGTCGTGGTCGTGGTCGTGGTCTGCGAGGCGCCGCCGCCGCCGCCGAATAGGCCGCTTAGGAACAGCGGGGCGAAGGCGGGCGACCGCTTCTCGACGTCGGTGACCTGCCTGGCCTCCAGCTCGGACGGCGTGATCGGGGTCATGGGCGACGCGGCCTCCCGCGGGGTGGGGAAGCCCATGACGGCCGAGGCCAGGGCGATGGTGAGGAGCGAGGTCTGGGTGGTCCGCATCTCGAAGGTCTGCTGGTCGAGGTGTTCAGTGGAGAGAAAGCGTCAGCGCACGAAAAACTGTCAATGCTCGACGAGAAGAAAGCGGGTCAGGGTCGGGAGCTGTCCTTGTCAAAGGGCTGCTGTTTTGTTTGGGAGGTGAGCCAAGTGAAGCTGTCGTGGAGTGCCAAGGGCCGATGAGTGGTGGAGTGGGGGCTGCTTTGCTGTGGTAAATGTCGTGGATGTCGGATGTGCGTGTGTGCGGATGGAGATTCGGATAAAGTTGGATATGCAACTGCCTTGTCGGCCATTATATCGTCATTTTTGACAACGGCAACCCGTCGACGATGTCGCTTCATCTGTAGACGCTGACTGAAGTCGGGGGCCATACACAGTCAGGGGAAATCCAAGGGCCCGGGATACCCCAGGGGCGGTGTCTGACTGCATATATTGCCAATAATCCATCGCCATGGGAATTGCCGATCCAATGGTCGTAGCATCCATGGCGCGCATGCAGTGGGCTTCCAATCTAGCAGAAAGGTGACGCAGAAGCAATTGGTGGTGGGAAGAATAGTAAGGGCCGTCCCTGGGCGCAGTGAGGATGGAATAATAGACGAGGTTCAGCGCATGCTCGCCGAAAGTGACAACCAATACTGTTGTACTAGGATTAGTTGGTGGATAATAGATTGCCTTGATAATAAGTGCAGCTAGTGTGGGTGGGCTTCTTTGGTAATGGTAATTACTTACGAGCGGCGGTCCTGAATCGACGGCGACTGCCAATATTGACGGCGGCTGCGTAATGGCTGTCGGCTGCGCCACGTCTGGGGGTGAAGGCGGGCGGGCTGTGATCTATGGAATCGATCGATCTTGCACGGCGCAATCGGCCCTGTGCCGCGCCAGCCACTGGAATCAATTGTTGGAGGTCAATGCCAATGCCAATCAAATTCCTCCACGGCAGCCGCATCTGAGGAACGATCTCGACGTGCGCCGGCTGTGGCGCCAAGGACGCTGTGGCTGGCTCGGGGTGTATAACGTGTCTGGCACAAGCCGCGGCATGTTGCCCGAACGGGGTGCAAGCGCCGTTGGCTTCACTGGACGCTCCCTTCCTTCAACAGCCAAACGGGTTAGCCGGATGCACAGCTAAAAATACATTGAAAGGCCTCCTCAAGCACATTTCATGGTTCCGACGCAAGTGAAGCTCTGAACTGGGTGGACTGCCGCGATTACCCCTCGAGAAAACCCGAGCAGTTGTGCAAGATTCGAAGCACTATCAACGCCAGTCTAAATAGACCTCTTTCTCGCCATTTCCGGCTACGAACTGCTTCCCACCTCGACCGTGTACGTCTCGCCCTCGTGCGCGACCAGCCGGACCGTGACGCCGAAGCCTTCATACGTGAACTCGCTCGCACCACCGGCCAGCGACAGGGTGGCGTCGTTGAGCTCGTGACCGCCGCAGCCGCCGGAGCCTGGGTTCGCGTCCAGCACGCGCGCGGGGCCCTCGCCCGTCGCGACGGTGGTGTCGACCGTGTACAACAGCACGCCCGGCGCGCACGTCTCGGCGTCGAGCCCCTCTGCGCCGCGCGCCTCGGCCACCAGCGCCACTGTGCCGTTGGCCACCACCACTACCACGGCCCGCGTGCCGCTGGTGCCGTCGCCGCTGCCGAGCGAGGTCAGGACGTGGGTTGTTGCTGTTGCTGAAGGAACGTCTGAGGACAGGGCGACGCAGTCGATCGCCGCGTCGGGCAGCCAGCCGAGCCGCCACTTGTCCCAGGCAAAGTAGTCCGGGGCGGGCCCGGAGATGTAGCCCATGAGGCTCCAGCCGCCGACGAAGCGGTGCTGGTCGGGCGCGCCGCTGGCCGTGTCGTAGGCGTAGTAGTCGGGCAGGCACAGCGCGTGGCCCGTCTCGTGGTTGACGACCTTGAAGCCCCACTTTGTGTACGAGTCGAGCCCGTACGTAACGGCCTTGTGGGCCACCGGCGGCTCGTCGGGCGCTCCGCCGGGGGCACCCACGTCGCCCATGTACGTGGGCGAGAAGGAGATGGCGGTGGCGTTGCGCGTGGCGACGATATAGAGCACGTCCGCGCCCCGGGGCACGGGCTGGCCGGCGGCGGCGGCGTAGGCGGCCAGGGCGTCGTCGATGTAGGCGCGGTGGGCCTCGCTGGACAGGCCGCGCTCGTAGCCGTACGAGGTGGATGGGCTCGGCATGCGGTAAAAGGCGGACGCGTCGGCGTCGACCTCGAGCTGGACGGCGCCGGCCGAGGAGCGGGCGTACCAGTCAGCGGCGCCGGGGACAAAGTAGTCGCGCAGCTCGGCGGGCGAGGCCTCGGTCGCGCCGGCGTCGGGGAAGTCGACGAAAATCATAAAGGCGCGCAGCGGGCCTGTGCTGGACGCGCATTGCCCGTAGGCGGTGCCGAAGCCCGCGCCCAGGTAAACGTCGGGCGGGGCCGGGAGCTTGCACGCCGACTTGTCGGCGGCGGCCTGCAGGAGAGGGGGCCGAGTGGCGGCCGCCAGGGTCCTCTGCGGGCCCCAGCCGAAAGCCGCAGCCGCAGCGACGGGCGGCCACCAGGCAGAGGGCCGCATATGGGACAGCAGCAGCGCCGCCGCGATACTGGTCCGCATGATTGTGAAAACTTGGAAGGCCAGAGCAGAGGAGGTGAAAGGAGGACCCTTATGCAAAGACAAGCAGGCCAAAGGAGAAACATTGCGATTTAATAAGCACTTCGAGCCTATTAAAATGAGAATCCATGCAGGTCCAAACGTTACATCACAGCTGCCCATTATCTCGAGCTCTCCTTTCGGAACGTCGCAACGATGCGAGTTCCCATTCACACCGCAACCTGCCCCTTTTGTCAAGGAAGAATGATTAGCTGTATGTGTAAAAGGTGGCCCGTGTGCATGTCGCGCCGTCCCGGCAGACTTCTGCCGCCCACTGTGAGCTCGGGAGGGCACCCTTGGAATCGAACCATGTTAACCGCCAACTTGAACGATCAGCCTTCAAGCCCTCTCGGCCAAAGAGTGCTCCCCATTCGCTCGTACGGTGTGCGCCCCTCTTGGAAGAAATGAGCTGCTCTTCCCATCTCGCACCGTCCAAAGGCGGCCAGCAAATGAGGGCCACGTCATTCTAATGGGCTGCGCTCGATGGGACAAACAAAAGTGTGCGAGGTAAAGCACTTGGCGATACCGGATTAGGAAAGTGGCATGTCGATTTCTGGCTACCACGGGTGTAGAATGCTCGTGTGCGACTCACGTGCCCTAGGCCCCAACTCATACAAAAAGTCTAGCATGAACAGGCAGAACGCGTGCATGCAACCACCGCTCAGGGACCAGCACACACCAATCGTAACAAGGAGGAGCTGATTTATACCGCCGGGATACTTGTCTTTGGCACATACGACCATACCCACTGGAATATACGGGATCCCGTCCGCTCTCCCCTAGTCAAACCAGTGAGGGCAGGATTGAAATCAACGGTGAAAATGGGATTCGGCGCCCTTAACCTCAGGCCACAACATTAGCGCCCTGTTATGGCACGGCGCTGTGGCTCAACGCCATGACCATTATAGCCCTCCAACTCAGAACAAGTGCCAGCTTGTTCTTGTTGTCCTTTTGGTCTAGGAGGGGAGGGCTTCCCTTTGCCGAACCGTGACACTTGCGCGCAAATGGGCCGGACATCACCGTCGCTGCAAGATTAGGTTACGACGGCTTTGCGAATGTGTCGGCGCGCAGTGTTCAAATGCAGAAAATAACCCCAGATTTGGTTGCTGGGGCAAAGCGCGATAGCAGCCAGGCAATCGCTAAGCGATTATGCGGGGTGCCATGCTGCTAGCTAGCGCGTGGGCGTATGTAGCAAACTAACCGCGAGCGTAAGCGGCGCAACGATGCGCTACTCCAAACCTGAAGCCACGGTGTCCTTGGCATCTAGCCTACATTTAAGGAACTCGCGACAGAAACAGAGAAAACGGCGCAGCAGCTCCGGCGCATGTTGTGGCGTGGCGCCTGAGGAGTCGCTGAGCCACTGTGGCGACCGGTTGGAGTGCACTGGTGGAAAAAACGCCTCACGTGGGAATGGGTGCAACGCACCCAATCCCTCCTTTGTATTCTTCACCTTTAAACAGTCATATCAAACTGGTGCTGACTGCAGCTCTGTCTCGACGCGATCTCTAACAGAGGGCAAGCAACCGTTTTGTTTTTTGTTTTCCTATTCAGTGCTGCCAGATACCTGCTAAATACAACATGGCCCCGCACGCTTTCTCTAGACCGCTGAGCAACCTGAACCTCTGAGATCTCCCAGTGAGAACCCCTTCCTGTGCACAGCACGTTACAGGTCGGTCTGTGAATCACATGGCATGTGGTCCCCACTGCCGTAATCTTTCTTGTCTGCGGTCGATGCAATTGCATCTGTGCCACCGCAGGCGGTGATACAAGTCGCAATCAGAAACTTCCACAACGATGTGAGCCGTGAGGTGGGTGTGGAAGAACTGGAACACCCAACAACGTGGACCCCCACAACGAAGCAGGTCACCCAGTTACGCGAGGCGGTGGCCCGATCCAGCGAGGTAAAAGGGATTTCAGAAAAGGATGCAATCCAAAAGGCCATCGTGTGGCTGGCCAGAGGGTGGGGGTGGAACGATACGATCGACCGCATCCAAAAACCGGACCAACCCCCAGCGGACCAAGCGGCCCCGAACGCCGAATCAGAAAGCCTGTACGTCTCATTGGATGCGATCAGAAACGGCATAACCTGGGAACACCTTGGACGATCACCGCAATCCCTCCCCCAAGGGATAGATTTTACCACGTACCTCCGAGCCATTACGGGCACCACACCAACCCCCACACAGGAACCAAATGACCTGTAAAGTCGTATTCGGCAACGTGGGCAGGGGACTAGCAGCCCTGGACGGTTTATTGGAATTCGCGAGGGAAAAAGGTGCAATCGTGGTCTGCGTCAACGAGCCCGCCCTCCTCAACAACAAACCACGCCGACACCCGGGCTGGGTGTGCGTAGCTAAGGAAGGGCCAAAGTGCAGGGCTGCAATATACGTGGGAAAAGATATAGCAGATTGGACGGTGGAAAGAAAACCACAATACCATTCAGCGTCGATATGCATCGGAGGTGTGAGGGCGTGGCGTGCCCTGTCGTGCGCGCAGCCCTGTCTCGCCGCGATAGGGTACTTAGGACCCCTAGCAATCCAGACTGGCAGTCTGGATTGTCCTGGCTTTTGGTGCGGGTGGGAGGGGTCCTACTGTTGCCAAGCCGCCTTGACAGCAAGCATCCCTCGAGGCGAATCAGTCTGCCTAGACGTCCAACCGTAGGACAAGTGGCTGAACGTGTGGACGTGGCCGAGTATCTTTGCAGGCGCTACCTAAACGCCTTATTTTTTTTGAGCCAATGGGGATTGGTAGCTTCCTCCCGCTGGTGGTGGCTGCTCTCGACCCAAGTGCATTTCATTTTCGTGGCTGCCGTCCCATCGCTCTTGGCACTTTCCTTGCCCGTCTGCAACCTCCGACCTAGCCCAAGCTGTTTCCTACACCTTTTGGGCTTCCAACCAGCCTGGGAACAGGCAGCTCTATCGACAAAATCTCTTGCGTAGGTGGTCTGCTGCGAGCTGTTCGACATAGAAATAAAAGTTTTGCTGGCACGATCTGGTCAAAGTAGACCAGCATCTCTCGAATGCGCCCCGCGTTGGGGACTTTGAACTCAGCCACGTCCAGGCATCTGGGCATGCAGATTTCGGCGACCCATGGAAACCAATGGATGTAATGCGGTGTAGCACAGCCGCACTGCACCCAATCCCTGGATTGTCGATTCCCGCTTGCTGCTAAAACCATTTGCTCAGCTTTCACAAACCTATCCCCAACTTTACTGCAAAGTTCTCTCGTCGCCTTTAACGCATTTTGCCGCAAATTTCGCTCTTGGAATCCCCGCTGCTAGATCAACAGCCCCTCAACCAACGCTCTCCTCCCAAGAGCAAGCACATTTTGGGAGGGCAGGCTGGGCGATGGCGTTTCCGGCCCCCGCCTCAAATCCTTTCCTCCCTTCCATGTTAGGCCCCATCAACGTCCACGGCCTCACGCTTTTACACCAAGCTCCGGATCCAAAGATCGAGTATGTATTCCTTCGCACTCTAGCCAGAGCATAATTGAGACGGTCCCGATTTTCATTTTGCCCACAAATATCCTTCCCTGTTCCCTTTTCCTGTTCCTTATTCCATTTCGAATGTTAAATGGCTGATTCCCCCTTTTATTCTATAGTATTGTCTTCGTCCATGGATTCACTGGCGACCCCAAGAACACATGGACCTGGAGGAGAGCCAAACATGGCTCAGCCGACCAGAAGAGAAAGCGCGACCCAGGGGAAGAGTCATCCATGGCCCGACGCTTTAAGATGCTCAAGCTTCCCCTTCGTCAGAGCCAGCAAGATACATCGCCAGGTGCTACCTCCTCGACCTCTTGCCCCGAACGAGCCTCCACAGCGCACACAGCGACCAGCAGTATCACTGAGCCAGGATGGGCAGAGGAAGTGTACTGGCCAGCAGAGCTTGCACCCCGGACCATCCCCGACTCTCGAATATTCACCTACGGCTACGACACCAAAATCCGCCACTTATCCCAGGGCCCGATCAGTCAGAAAACAGTCTACGACCATGCATCAGACCTACTGCATCGCATTGAACAGCACCGTCGCGGTACTGGAGAGGCATCTCGCCCGCTTCTCTTCGTGGCCCACAGTCTTGGCGGAATCATTGTCAAGGAGGCCCTGCTTAAATCCCATCGATCCTCAACAGGGCAACCCCACCTACATAACATCGTTCAAGCAACTACTGGCCTCATATTCTTCGGAACACCCCACAGAGGTGCAGATCCAAGATCCTTGCTTCGCCAAGTAGTGAAGGCATCGGGTCAGTTCGTTGGCTTTAAATCCAATCAACAAATTGTGGATGTCCTTATGCCCAATTCACAGCCGCTCCTGAACCTGAGCAACGAGTTTGGCAACCTTGTCAACGAGAAAAGATGGACGGTGTACTCATTCCAGGAAGAGTATGGTGTTGGGCTGCTGCTGGGAACCAAGGTCGTAGAAGACCACTCGTCCTGTCTCAGCGTCCCTACCGAGACCAAGCAGCATATTGGGAGCAACCACATGGATATGTGCCGCTTTTCCGGGCTTCAGGATCCCGAATACCTTACGGTAGCCGCGGCCATGACATTCATTGTCAGTGCAACCGGAGCTTTCCCGCACGCGATGTCCAACGCATGCCATGTTCAGATTCCGGGCTTTGCGCAGTCCTATGACGCATCAATATCCGGCGAGGACTTCCTGTCAGGAGCTCCCAGGGCCGGCGAGCAGAACCAAGGTGGACTTTTGCCGCCCCAGTCTCGCGATTACAGGGGTGATACTTCCCACACTAGGGTTCTCCCAGTCGACAACCAACATCAGGACGACTCCTTATGGCTAGATCCCTGCAGTGGCATGTACGAGGGCTCAGCCGGAGGGGGCATCGATACCGCCACCAAAGAATCACTAGTCGAGCGGCTCTTCTTCACTAAAATCGATGACCGCCTGACAAATCTGACCCCAGCCCAAGGAAAAACGTGTCGCTGGTTCCTCGCCAAGCCGGAATATCAAACCTGGCGTAACCTGGCCAATCCCTCGGACGATAGCGGCTTCCTCTGGATTAAAGGAAACCCTGGCACTGGCAAGTCCACCCTTATGAAGCTTCTTTTTGAGGAGGCTAGGAAGGAAGCGAAAACGGACACCCTGCGTATCACGCTTTCATTCTTCTTCCTTGCACGCGGGGTTATCGAGGAAAAGTCCACTGCTGGCTTATACCGATCGCTTCTCCATCAACTTCTCGAAAAGGCCGTGGACCTGAAAGGAAGTTTCGAGTGGATGACAACCGCTGGAGCAAGAGGCATCTTAGAGAACGGATGGAGCGAGGCCGCCCTGAAGCAGACGCTGAAGGAGTCTGTCTCGAAACTCGGGGGTCGGTTTTTAACGATATTCGTCGATGCGCTGGACGAGTGCGACCAGGCCCAGGTGACTGACATGGTTTGCTTCTTCGAGGAGCTGTGCGGGTACGCCATCGAGATAGCAGCCAGCCTCCGCATCTGCTTCTCCAGCCGGCACTATCCCGTCCCCGCTATTCACCAATGCGCTGAGCTCATTTTGGAGGCCGAAGGCGGACACACAGACGACATCGAGCAATTTATCAAATCCAGATTGAGGTTGGGCAAACTAGGCAAGACCGCCAGGGCAGCGCCACTCCGAGCCGAAATTCGAGACAAATCATCGGGCATCTTCCTCTGGGTCGTCCTGGTTGTCGACATCCTTAACCAGGAATATGCCAACGGCGCCGCCATCAACAATCTCCGCAAGCGTCTCCAAGAAATACCACCTGGGCTCCACGAGCTGTTCGAAATGATTCTTGCGCGGGATGGCAAAAATCTCGACCAGCTGCACCTTTGTCTCCAATGGGTCCTTTTCGCTGCCCGTCCCTTAAAGCCACCTGAGCTGTACTTTGCCATCCAGTTTGGTCTCGACAGAGACAGCACTGGTCACTGGGACCGCGAGGACATCGAAGGGGACCAAATTAAGGAGTTCGTCAGGTCGTCATCCAAAGGCTTGGCCGAGGTCACACGCACCAAGTCCTCCAGCGTCCAGTTCATTCACGAATCTGTCCGGGACTTTTTGCTGGGCCGATACGGAGAGCAGTGGTCCGGGCATTCAGGGAACTTTGAAGGGCACAGCCACGAAGTACTTAAGGACTGCTGTTTGTCCCAATTGAACGCCCCGATCTCCCACATAGTCGATGTCCCAGATACCCCGCCTCAGGACGCGGAAGCAGCAAAGTCGACCAGGGAGGCCTTGCAGCACAACTTCCCGTTCCTCGAGTACGCAGTTCTCAACACCCTCCACCATGCCAACAGCGCTCAGCAGCACGGCAAAGATCAGGAAACGTACATAAAAGACTTCCCACTGCCACGCTGGGTTGTCCTCAACAACGTTCTCGAAAGGCACACTGTTCGGCGGTACACCGCATCTGTCAGCCTTTGCTACCTCCTTGCTGAAAGGAATCTGCCACACCTGGTCTACTCCTATCCTGATCCGACAGTCTTCTTTACGGTTGAACAAGAACGCTACGGCCCGCCAATATTTGCTGCATTGGCTATGGAAAATGACGATACAATCCAGGCCATTTTGCAAAGCTTCCAAATGCAGATCCAGCACCCACATCCATCACCTAACGACCTTGTAGCACTATATAACCAGAACAAAGGTGAAAAGTTTTCCTTTGGTCGTGGTTTTACCTTTTCACGAAAACGAGGCATCCTGTCATACTTGGACAGTAAAAGCGAAGCAATAATTTTGGCTTATATTCTTTTGGGCCAGGTCGACATGGATTTGAAAGATGGGAGCGGGCGGATGCCGCTGTCAAGGGCAGCGGAGGGCGGTCACGAGGCCGTGGTCAAGCTGCTGCTCGGCACAGGCAAGGTCGACATCGACAACAAGGACGGGTACGGGCGGACGCCGCTGTCGTATGCCGCGGAAAAAGGGCACGATACCGTGGTCAAGCTGCTGCTTGGCACAAGCAAGGTCGGCGTCGACAGCAAGGGCAATACTTACGGGGAAACGCCGCTGTCATGGGCCGCGGAGAAGGGGCACGAGGCCGTGGTTAAGCTGCTGCTTGGCACAGGCAAAGTCGACGTCGATAGCAGGGACAACCACGGGCAGACGCCGCTGTCAAGGGCCGCGGGGGGCGGGCACGAGGCCGTGGTTAAGCTGCTGCTTGGCACAGGCAAAGTCGACGTCGATAGCAGGGACGGGTACGGGCAGACGCCGCTGTTAAGGGCCGCGGGGGGCGGGCACGAGGCCGTGGTTAAGCTGCTGCTCGGCACAAGCAAGGTCGACGTCGACAGCAAGGACAACCACGGGCAGACGCCGCTGTCAAGGGCCGCGGGGGGCGGGCACGAGGCCGTGGTTAAGCTGCTGCTCGGCACAGGCAAGGTCGACGTCGACAGCAGGGACAACCACGGGCAGACGCCGCTGTCAAGGGCCGCGTGGGGGCGGGCACGAGGCCGTGGTTAAGCTGCTGCTCGGCACAGGGCAAGGTCGACGTTCGATAGCAGGGAACGGGGTACGGG